TTACAATGGGGTTTTTCTTTCGAATAAAAAATTCTTTCTCACACTCTGAAGGTTTTCATTTTACAGAGATTTATAGATTTCATTTTATCGGCATAATAATGTTAAATTAAATTCCATTGCTTCCATTTGATTTGATGATTAATTTATTGTTGGCGAACAATTTCTAATTTTATTATTGAATTTCTCATTGGGCAAGAAATGAAGCAAAAGCCAATAAAATTTTTGCAATTTTTGAGGGACAATAAATAAGGAAAATGTTTGGGCCTCCTTTCAGATAAGATCCCCATTCAGAAACTGATTTACAAGAGACTTGCCGCGAAGCCTCGAATGCAAATAAGCTTCTTTCGCGATTTCTGGGAGGAAGGTGGAGACTTTGACATTTGAATACGCCTGAGCGCCTTGTTATTTTTATATTTTCAAATTAAAAAAGCAAAGGCTCGCGGTGCTCCGTATATTTTTTCGCGCCAAACGTAGAGGGGTGACTAAATTGTACTGATACTCTGGGTGCCAGGGGTTTGTCACCGTTTTGTCGGTTGACTGGTGCGCGTGAGAAATCCTTGACACGCGCGAACGCTTTCAAAATGCAAAAATAAATAATTTCAATTTAAATTCCCTGTTATTTTATTTTTGTTTTCTTTTTTAGAGCTTTGTTTTTCTTCGGCGGGTGGGAGGTGCAATTGTAGATGGAAGCGAAACATAAGTTTTCCCTTTGTTCTCGTTTTGATTTCATTCGGAAATTAAGGGTGCGACTGGCACCACATCATCTATCTATTCTCCTTGTCATAATTTTCTGGTGGTGAAATTAATTAGATTTTGCTTGGGTTGGGTGGGAAGTTCAGACTAGAAGTAAATTCATTTATGCCGAGGCAATCATGTATTTCGAGATTCCAGCAAAAGGTAATTGTATGGATGGAAATATTATAATTGAAGGTTTAGACATACTTCTGTGGCTCAGACGAGTGTTTGAATATTTAGGTACACTAAATAGATTTCGAATGAAAACGTACATTTTATAACATTTTAATTCGATTAGAAAACAAAAATTTATTTTAACAGGTAATTCTTATTGAAGATAAGTGATAAAGCTTTTAAAAAGAAGACCATCACAAATTCAGAAGCCTTTACCCGTCTTTAATTTCGCCATCAAGTGCTTAACTTTTACGGCCCAAAGTAAGCACACTACCCAACTATATAGCTACCGTACGAATATTCCTGAAATGCGCACTGTTTATTGTTAATTGTTAATAGTTTATTGTTCATTGGGCCGTGGTGGTCTGCTGTATCGCCTTTGGCCTCCGGTTTATTTCCCCAAACAGCTCCATCGAAAGTGGTTGGCTATCAGTAACTGTGGCTGCGGCTAAGCCAGCTTGTCAATTTTGTATAAAATTTATTATTTTATTTGCGTCAGGTTCGCCTTTTTGTGTTGCCACTTTCCAGACGCTCTGTTTCGGGTCGCGGTGAAATTATTTACATTTTGCTGATTGCGACTGTTTTTGCATTGCCACTCGGCCGGGAGGTTTGCCAGTCATGCCCTCGCCTCGTACTCGAAATCGTCGCAGTATATGTATCTGTATATAGTGGGCCCTGGAGAGTGCCATAAAACTTGCAATGCAATTGCACAGCCACACATGTTTGCTCAATTTACGATCGCATTGCTGACGGAGGTGGCAATCGACCATCGACAACCAGCAACTGTTGCATGTGGCACTTGGGCTCCAAACTGGCCAGGGTCGTTGCTTTCGCCAAAGATCGAACATAATCTCGCTGGGCCGGAGAACTAATCAAAACTGGCAGCTGATTGTCGGCTGACTCAGAGTCATATGATGATGTCGCAGGGCGATGACAGCCAGCGGACACTTTATTGACAGCAAAAAAATATATATAGCGCAAAGAACTAGCAGAAAATATATGGATAGATGGGGAGGGGGAATATTGGGGGCCACACACCCGGGGAACCCAACTTGGCAACGCTGCGTATGAGTAATGCAGAGGCAACGATCCACAAATGGCTGGCAAAAACTCAACGACGACGGCAAATGAAGCAACAAAATTCAGCAGCAGCAGCCGCAGATTAAGAACCTTTTAAGGGGATTAATGATTTTAATTTTTTCCGTGCATTCTGTTTGCCTTGTTTCCGTTTTTCTGGCAAAGTTCTTCCTCGGGGTGTATTCACTTGGCGATTGACTCTGAATCGGGGGCTAATAGTTTAACCGAAAAAAGAAAGTGACGAATACATTAAATGGAAAAGAGGGAAAGAAAGGTTATACAATGTATGGATAGGTATGGCATCTGAAACCTACGAATTCACAATGTTTGCTGAGCAAAGATTAAACAGGGTATATTTGTTTTATACATAAAAAAAGTGTATTACTTTTCCGACTTATTTTAACTTGAAAATCCCTTCCAAAATAAGTTATAAGATCCCATTAAATGAACTGAGTTATTAAATATTAATAATAGTTTTCAAAACTTAATTTTATTTAAGCAAGTTCGAAATATAATCGAAAGAAATAAATACTTCTTCATAATGTAATACTGTTCTTCAAAAGATATATTAAAATATTACTGATCCCAGTAGAGTATTACCGCCTTCGTTCTGCAGTCTTCTACAATTTCGGTTATTTTTTCTGGCACTCTGTGGACTGCTCCTGGTTCACGTTGCTGGGACATTTGTTTGCTTTGCCATTGCCATTGGCCTGGCTAAATGCCAGGCAAGGACATGCATGGCCAGCTCGCTTTTGGATGGCAACACGGCCACTTCCGCTTCCGCTCCCCGAGAAGCCCCGGCCTCTTCCGGTTTGTTTGTTGCGCGCATTAAGCTAATTATGGCCAAATAAAGTGAGACGAAACGAAGCGCGCGCTCTGAGCAAACAGGAGACCATATCCGCATCCGTATCCTCTATCCTGGAACCCGAATCCTTGGATGTCCTCGTATGCATGCCGGCACTTAACTTTCACTGCCCTCCTCTCTTTGCGGCCGGGTTTTTTGATTGTTTTTCAATTTTCTGCATTGTTAAACTTTTGCTTCCCATGTTGCGCCTTGTTTAATTTGCCGCCTGTGGCACGTGACAGCGGCGTTGGCAAGTGCACCACCCCAGCACCCCACCACCCGCCACGTGTCCTTGCTGGAAAATCACGAGCCAGAATTTCCAAATTTCAGCAGCAGCAGCAGCTGTTTAATGGCTGCCTGCCGTTGGCAAATATTTTGCTTGTGCTACAACCAAATCAATTTTGTATGCTCGCCCAAATGGAATACGAATACGAGCTTGCCAGTGTCCTTGCACCACCGCCACCCACTAGCCCATCCCCTCACATCCCTCCCACAGCCACCCAAAACTGGTGGTCACGTGTCGTTGCAGTCGCGCCTCTTTCGCTTTGTCTGCTAATCTATCAAAGGCGCTGGCAGCAAACCAAATTGAGTTTGTTTGGATATCATTTCCACTGGCGAGGACACGAACTCGCAGGAAGCACAGGATCCGTACAAGGATGCTACCTGCCACAGAAGCGGATAGAGTCTTCTGCCACTTGTGGTCCGCTGCGATACTTTTCCTTTGCCTGCACTGGGAGAAATTAAATAGGCGGTCATTAAATATAACATTGGTTTGAAAACAGCACTTACTCTACAGCTATGAGGATAATAAGGCTTGTAACAGTTGCACATACGTCGATTATATACTGGATATGTTTTAAATAGTCATAAAATTCTTTAGCCTTCATATGTTGATTTATTAACTAATTATACCTTTTTTCTCTGTGTTTTTTTGGCTTTTTGACGAACGATTTACTTTATATTTGAAGAGATTTTGTTAGCATACATTTTTTTTTACTTTACAATAATTTAGTTTTTCATAAATTACTTTCCTAATATTTAACTAAATATACAAAATTTACTTACTTTAAATACTTTTTTTCAGTGCATCTGCCTTGCTCTTTTCCCACAATTTCCGGGCGCGTTGACGTCAATCAAATTAGACCCATCCCGGGCATCGTGGGCCGTCCAAAGTTCACACATCAAATTATGTCGGGGTGGGTTCGACGTGGACCTCCCCTTCTGGCGACAGGATAACGTCGTTGCTAACTTGCGATTTGCGTTTGTAAATGTTTTTCTAATCAGATTTGTGTGCCATCCATGAGGGAGTGCAATTTGTTTTGATGTCGCAGGCGCAATCCGGTTAAGTGACATTTGGGAGGAGTCGGGGATACATAATTACCGGGGCCTGGGATGGCATATGCTGAACGGAGATTCTCCGGAAAGTTCGGGGAAAAGTTCCCGGCCCAACTTCCGTTCACATGACACACATAACTCACTCGGTCACTGGCCAATTGTGATCGATTGGTTTTAAAGTCCGGCCGTAAACTTAAACAAACAATAATCGCTGGCATTGTAAATGCATAAACCGTATATATAAAATGCGGTTGCAGTGGCAATCGATTTATTGCCCCGACCCGTAAGTGGGTGAGTTTTTCCGCCAGACGCTGATAGGGATCGTCATGATTTCAGGGCCACTTCTCCGCTCTCTATTCTCCGCCCAGCGGTGATCACTGGCCACAGTTTTCTAGCTCGGGAATTACTTTTTAAGCCCTTTTGCGTTCCGTGGATTTTTATTGCATTTGCGAAGATTTTGCCATTCTAATTGATTGTTTGCCTTTGCCCATTCCGGCGGAGGAGTAGTCATTGGTCGCTTATCACCGCCGGTTATCGATCTAGCTATCTATCTATCTATCTACCTATCTACCTATCTATCTGGCCAGCTATCTTTCCCTGCTCCGATTCCCAGTCGAGTTATCTAACCGGACCCGGGAAATATGCGCATAATATCCATTTAGATATATAACCAATGGCCGACCACCGCACCACCCATTTGTTTGTCCGTCGCATTTATTTGTGCATTACAAACTGTGAGCACACTTAAGTTGCCCCTAAGCTCTGGCGCCGCTCCATTTTGCAAAAAAAGCAGATATAAGAAAAAAGAAATTATGGAAAAGGGCACCAGCACTCACATAAATGTTCATAAATAGTTGCTGGAAAAGAGCACAGACAAATGGCGCCTTTTGTTGATATCCACTGAAAAATTATTTTAAAATCTGGAAACACAAACAGTTTAAGTAAAACTTTCTACATTTATATGGCTTTCAGTTAACTGCCTTTATTTTAAATGGGGCATTTAAGAGTATTTTAAGTCTTATCGAAAGTAAATACATATATCGCTTAGTTTGAACATGGTTTACATTTCAGATACCTATTATTATAGGGCATTTTAAAACAAATTTAAGTCGTATTAAATGTTGATGATAAAAAATCAGTATATTTTAAAATCTGCTCACAAGTACTTTGTAGTATTTTCATCTCACTGCCTTTGATTACTAACAATTTAAAGCAATTGGGAGCTGACTCAAAATTTTGTAATTGCTCAATTTAATATTATCTGAATCACTGCGATATTTGAGTTCTGTTTAATTGCTTTAAAATAATTTACCGCAACTCAATTAAACGTTTAGCTCGGTCTCTGGTTAAACATCCATTTTCAAATATATCAGATCGATCATCAAAATTACTGAAGAGTAAAACCAATGAAGTAAGACATAAAAACAAAAATATATCTCGTTTCACTATAAAGTAATACATACATCGAACAGGTGGGGCCACCATTTTTGTAAGAACACATTTAAGTCCTTCAATACAAAGATGTCTTCTAAATATATTTTCCTAAGCATTTTGATATTCTACTCTGTTGGAAAGGTAAGTTCACTTTCAATACCAAATACAATAATTAAACTAGCTACCGTTAAGATAACTGCTAGCGTCAAGTTCACTAATATAAAGTGCACATCTCTGGATACGAACTTTGACGACTTTGAGTATTGCCGACTGAAGTCCGAGAACCGCGCTTTCAAATATATATCGCTTAAACTGAATCTGTATAAAATTCCCATACCAATGTCAAGGTTCGATTGCACATTATTATGTTTAAAACATTAAATGACATTTCGTTTTAGGTTAAATTTGCATTGCTTAAGCAAGTCAATGGACACAATTCGTTTCTTTATAATATCACGGCGGATGCCTGTAAAATTCTAAAGTATCCAAAGTCAAACCCAGTTTTTGGTTTTTTCCACAATCTTTTTCGGGATCATTCCAACATAAATCATACATGCCCCTTAAATGTATGTGAAACAACAATGTAATAGGGTCTTTACTAACATAATATTTTCTTTACAGCACGACCTTATTGTGGATAAGTTCCCACCGAGTTATGAATACGCCAATTGTAAATGTTTTGCCTTTTCCCCTCGGCGATTACCAATTTCATTCCACCTGGATAGTAGATGATATAAGTCGTGCGGAAGTTCGGGTCTACGGCACACTTTTCTAAATAAAAAACTGTCGTTAATAACCATTCTACCAAATGCTTCTATTATGTATTATATTTTATATCTGATGAATTTATTTATACCGGGCAGTACCAAGGAGGTACAACAAGGAAGAACGCTGTAGTCAGTGCCTCGACTATCAGATACCCGTTACTGTTACTCAGGGCGCCACCTATCAGCGTTTACATTATTTGGTCATAAAATATTGATAAATGGTCACATTTAAAAAAATTGTATATAGGTGTTGATAAATAAAACCAAATCTCATTTACACCTTAATAAAAATACCTATCTTTAAACGTTTGGAGCTAGATAGATTTGAGCGTTATTGGCGTTAGAGTGGGCGTGACAAAACTGTTTAGGTTAATCGATAGGTATTACGATTACGTACATACATACATCAAATTTGCTCTTGATTACAAACTAAGGAATCTTAATTAGAAATCCCAACGATTCCTCCTTCCTTCTACCTGTTTATACTTCCGACGAATACAATGTACCCTTTTACTCTACGATTATCGGGTATTAAATTGCTTGTTTGAGTTTATAGTAACGCTTGTATATAATTGGGTTATTAAGTTAATCAATCATCAAAACTAATGGAGAATAAAACCCATGAAGTTAGGTATTTAAACAAAAGTACATCTTATTTTACTATTATTAGTTAATACACACATCGAATATGCTGGGACCGCATTATTCTAAGAGAACATTTCAGTTCTTCCTTTCAAGGATTTCTCAAAAATATTTTATATGCACTTTGATATTCTACTCAGTTGGAAAGGTAAGTTAACTTTCGATATCGAATTTAACAATTTAACAAGTTACCGTTATAGATTCTGCGAAGATGGAGTTCACTAATATAAAGTGCACATCTTTGGATAAGAATTTTGACGAATTTGAGTATTGTCGACTTAAGTCCGTGAACCGGACTTTCAAATATATATCCCTTAAAGTGAATCTGTACAAACTTCCCGTTACCAAAGTCAAGGTTAGATTGCAATTTGTGTATATGAAACATTAAATGACACTTCGTTTTAGGTTAACTTTGCATTGCTTAAGAGGTTCAGTGGATACAAGCCGTTTCTGTATAATATCACGGCGGATGCCTGCAAAATTCTAAAATATCCAAAGTCAAACCCAGTTTTTGGTTTTTTCCACAGTTTTTTTCGGGATTATTCCAATATGAATCATACGTGCCCCTTTGATGTTTGTAAACCAATGCTGAATTAAAGTCGTTTCTAATATACTATTTTCATTACAGCACGACCTTATTGTGGATAAGGTTTCCGCCGAGTTTATAAATACGCAATTTACAAAAGTTTTGCCTTTTCCCCTCGGCGATTACCAATTTTATTCCAACTGGATAGCAGATGATATAAGTCGGGCAGAAGTTCGGGTCTACGGCACTCTTTCCTAAATAAAAAACTGGTCTAATAACCATTCTACCAAATACTTATATTTTACATTACATTTTATATGATATTAATTTGTTCATACGGGGAGTTCCGAGCCGCAGTTCGACAAGAATAAACGCTATGGTCAAGTGCCTCGACTGTCAGCTAATTTGGATGTTGGGTTCGTCTCGCCCAGTGATCCTGGTCACGAATTTATGCGGGGTACTTCTTACATACTTTTACGGGTTTAAAATATGAACCTGGATGTTAATGGACCACGAAATTGAAACTCAAAACTGTTGGTGTATTGGTGTACTTACAAATATATATAAAGAGAGTATAAGTATTTCAATTACTAGCGGATGAAAGGCTAATTTGTATTTAACGAGCATAGTCATTTGCTTTGATAACTACCTAAATTGATAAAATACTAGCGAAAACTAGCATTGAGTGATTAGTTTCCATTGAAACAGTAACTGTGCATCATTGTTGTTAAAATGAGTTCCCGCTATCGCCTTTTGGAACTTATTGTTCTTCTATATTTTATCAAACAGGTTGGAAATATAAGATAATAAAGAATATACATTTTGACTCTTAATTTTAGACCACATCTACAGTGGAGTTAACCAACATTATATGCACTTCCTTGGACCCTGAGTTCGCCGACTTTGAGTACTGCTATCTTAAATCCATAAATCGAACCTATAAATATATGTCCTTAAAAGTGAACTTGCTTAAGAAGCCCGTAACCAAAATCAAAGTTTGTATAATATATAGGTATGTATAAAAGAGTATGCTATCTAGCCAAATGTCCTTCCAGGTAAACGCAGAATTACTAAAGAGATTCAGTGGCTATAAGCCGTATCTGTACAACGTGACCGTAGACGCCTGCCGATTTCTGAAGAATCCCAAATCCAGTCCCATTGCAGCATATTTTTATGGTTTCTTCAAGAACCACTCCAACATGAACCATTCGTGCCCATTTAATGTTAGTGCACCTAAACCTATTTTTTAAAGAAAGTTATATTATTCATATTTAATTTCCAGCAAGATATAGTAGTAGAAAAACTTTCCACCAAAGCTATAAACACCCACGTGACGGAGGTTTTGCCCTTTCCCCTCGGAGATTACCTGTTTCAAACAAATTGGTTTGCCTATGATATAAACCGCGCCAATGTCAAGTTATATTTTACACTTTCGTGATAATTCAGCTTCATACTGGTTAAATAAAATGCTGTCTCATAACTTAATGCTGGTTCCTAGCTACAGTTTAATGGAGCGTGAAAAATTAAAATGTCATTATTACGAAATTAGATTTCATAATGAGTTTGTGGAATACTGTTAAAAAATTTTGGTTTAGGGTAGTGTTTAATAGCCTTCCTAGAAGAGAGTATCTTTATTGCATTTGATTATGTGGAAATATATATGGCTGAGCCTTTTATCATGATGCTATATTTGGTCAACGAAGTATGCATATTTAAATAAATCAAAAGAAAACACCATTACATTTTCGTTTTAAGATAGCTCCGATGGTCGAATTCACGAATGTCAAGTGCACTTCCTGGGATAAGAAATTTGATGATTTTGAGTACTGCCACCTAAAGTCGGTTAACCGCAGCTTTAAGTACTTGTCTCTTAAGGTTAACTTATTCAAAGTTCCCATACCAAAGTCAAGGTTTGTTGCTAACTTAAGTTAAATGTTTACATTTTTTGATTGGTTTTTTTCAGGTTAATTTTGCTTTACTCAAGCGTTACAGTGGCTACAAGCCTTTCCTGTACAATATCACTGTCGATGCTTGCAAACTCCTAAAACACCCCAAGGCAAACCCGATTTTTGGCTTCTTTCACGGCCTGTTCAAAGAACACTCCAACATGAATCATTCATGCCCATATGATGTACGTACTGAGCAAATTAAATTTCTCTGCTAAACATTTTTTAACTTTCAGCATGATCTTGTTGTTGAAAAACTGCCTACGTCCTTTATGAATCAAAAAATAACCGGAGCACTCAACTTTCCACATGGGGATTACCTTTTCCACTCGGACTGGCTTGCATATGGAATTAATCGGGCGACCGTTGACTTCTTTTACACTCTTTCATAAACTACTGAATTATTATAAAAAAGAGTTAGAACTCTGGGACTTTAACAAATTATTCAATGAGGTTTATTCTTAGGCTAGATAGTATTGCAGCGGTTACAAAGTTTAACGTAACTAATCTCTAGACCTATGATATCCGGTTAACTCTAATTATTTACAGTGTACTTTGGATCGAAGCGAATGGGGGAAGTTTCGTTCTGAGGGCTTCAGCTCCTTAATCCTGGGCGTGATCTTAACCCTAAGGCCGTCCTTGGGACGCAGGATGAGTTCGCCCAGCAGGGTGAGATCCTCGCGCCGGTCGACGGCCTCGATCTTGTACTTCCTCAGCACCGTGGAGATCACGGCCTTCTCCTCCAGAATGGCGAACTTCTGACCGATGCAGTTGCGCGGTCCGGCGCTGAAGGGGATGTAGGCGAAGGGATGGCGACCGGCGCAGTTTTCCGGCAGGAAGTTGTCCGGATTGAACTGCTCCGGCTTGGGGAAAACCCGCGGATTGCGGTGGAGGGCATAGGTCATGATGATGGCCTGAGTTCCAGCGGGCACGATCTTTCCACCTGTCGGAAAATCAGTTAATGCAATTTGCCTCTGATTTTATTTTATTTTATTGAAAAGCTTACCAATATTGACATCCTCGGCCACCATTCTGGCCATCATGGGCACACTGGGAAACAGGCGCAGCGAGTCCTTGATGCAGCACTCCAGGTACCGCATGTCGAGCAGGTTCTTCATGGTGGCCGGCGTCTCCTTGTCGTCGCCGAAGATCGCTTCCAGCTCCTCCACCACCTGCTCCTGGTACTCCGGATGGCAGCCCAGCAGGAAAGGGTCCAGGAAATGGCAGCCGAGGTGGTGTCATGGCCCTCGAACATAAAGGTGTCCACCTCCTCGCGAATGTCCTCCTATAAAGGGGTATATATATGTAATATTAATACTCAAGGAAGAAACCCCCATAGCTTACATTCGAAAGCACTGTTCCCTCTTGGAGGCATCGATCAGGAGATCAAGGAAGGCCAGACGCTTCTTCTTTCCCAGATCATCGTAGGCATCGGGGCGTTCTCATTGTTATTGTTGTTGTTCTCCTGGAGAAGGGCCAGTTCAGCCTTACGTTCGCGGATCACCATGTTGGAGAACCCATGCAGGGTGCTTATGTAACTCTGGTGGAGCTTGTACTCCGAAGTCAGGCTGAAAATGAAGTCGCTCTGCAGCCAGATCTTCGCCTGACGACTCTGCACAATCGATCCAATGCTGGGGAATAGATTAGTTAATTTGTATCCCAATTTAAAAGGTATGAGTATAAGCATAAGGAACAAAGAAAGAAATGAATACATACAATGATTGTTCTATTAATTTTTAAAATACTACAGCTTATGTATTTTGGTTCATGGGGTTGGGAAATGGGAAAGTGTTGCGTAAATTGAAAGTTAGTCAACTGTTCAATGGGCGAGTTCTATGTGCGTGGCTGGGGTGGTAGAGTGGGTCCGGGTCCGATGCCGTCTGTTATCAGCTTGGAAGCACTTCAAGCATCCCATTGACATCTTAATCTCGCATATTTTGCGCTTGGATGCACCGCCACCCACCCCACTCACGCACTGGGTGAAATGGAGGGAAATGGGTGAAACTGGGGGAAATGGGTTCGGGAGGCGGAAGGACATGTGTATCTAAAGGGTGTCTCTTTCCCTGACAGCTGTTCTGACAGCTCTCGATATTAAACTGCTGCCACAGCGCTGATAACTCTTCGCAAAATGAGGAAGAGTTGCGTCTGCTATTGATGTTATTATTCCCAGTGGTCGCCCGGTTTTATGATATATTTTATTAGTGCAGACAGATAGAACAATTACGTTGGCTTCATTGAAAAACAAAGGGATATTTCTTTTGAAAAACTCTGAACATGTTCTGTATTTTTAAATGTCTCTTGCCAGAACAACCAGCTAGAAGTATGCAACGAATATGATAGAAATGATAAATTGAGACTCAAATATACAATTGCATATTTTTAGGATTACAAATATTTGATCAACATAACTAAAATTTATTTATGATTGTTGCGCGCGAAGATTAAGATACAACATTTAATATTTTTAAAAATCAGGAACTATATTTTTTTTACTTTTAAAATTTAACTTAATGGAACTTTGCTGTTCGCTTTCATAACAATATATTGCTCTAAATAACAAGTAATATGATTTAATTTTAACCAATGCCATTATGGAAACGTTTTAAAGTCGATTTGTTTAATGAGGCAGACACCGTTCCAATTTTGAAAAGCAGACTGTAAGTCAAAACTTTTGGCTTTGAGTTAACTAATAACAATTTCATCAAATTTTGATTGTAAATTTAATAGAATCATAAATAGTATTTCTGTGATATTAATTTTATGTGTGGCATTTATGTCTGTAATTGAAACCATGTCAGAAAATCAATCACAGCTCGAATGAGATGAAAAACCAATTGCTTCAAATGATTATAAGTAATTTGGCTCAATTTGGATCACAATGAAAATATTTTTGCAATTTCAATAAATAGTTTTTGTGTGTGGCAGGAAATATAACCAATTTTTCTCATAAATACATAAAAGACATGCAAACTTGCCATCTTGCTTTCCAGTAATTGACAATTTCTTACCCGTAGACCGCCTTCACATACTCCGATTCGCTATTGCTCTGGGCATAAATTCTGCGACCCATGGCGGTTTCTGAGAATTGAATGACGTTTGCCATTAGCCACGAATAATGTTATCCGATCTGAAAACTATATCCGATCTCCAGCGGCATTGACACTCACCACAAACAATGTCCAAAGTGCAGAGCGTGACGTAGGGGAACAGGTTGAACGCCTCGCTGCCCACCTCCACCGCCAATTTTCTGGCCAAGACCGCGCTCTGCTCGTTGAAGACGTCTATGAAGTCGTCCAAGATTTTGAAGTGGAAGGCGGGCGTGAGGATCTAGAATTAGAAATAGAATTATTAGGTAAGTCGGCTTTGTGGGAAGATTAATGATACATGTTTTATTTTAACAACATTAAAAAATAATAAAATGTCAAACAGTCAGAAATATTGTGGTTTTCCGTATGTTCATATTGCTGATTTATTACACATGGTACACATTAAGAAATAATGACTTATAAAAGATATTATTAAATATGTATAAGTCTTCCGACTTACCTTCCTGCGGGAGTGCCACTTGCGATCGGTGCTGGTGAGCAGCCCTTCTCCCAGCCAAGGATGCAGATAGTCGTAATCGTGGCTCTTGTTCACAAACTTCTGGCTGTTCAGTATGGGCTATATAAATTGTTATTATTATATATTCATAAGATTTCATAAAGCTAACTCACCTCCACAGTTTCGGGCTCGAAGAGGAGCACTCGTGGGGCTGTCCCCTGCCAAACTCGATTGATTCCAATACGCGTGCCCCACAACTTTTGCATGCCGATGACGCGGTTAAAGAGCTCTGCAAAAAAAACAATAGGTCAAAAACCAGTTTAGATTGGTTGGCTCCACAATTTGTTGGAAGAACGATTTACGTCACATTTGTGCTATCAATTTTCATTCATTAAGAAAGAGGGGGTTCTTCTGTTATTATGAAATTATTAAATATTTTTTATTAACTTGTATCATTTGTAAGTAATCTGTATCTTTTGATATTCATTTGTACCTTTCCTCGACGTCACGGTAATTATTTTCGGTTCGCTGCTGCCCCTTCTTCGACCCCTTGAAGGTCGCCTCAATTGCTTTCTTCGTGGCCCAGTTAGTAAGCCGGGGCTTTTCTCACCCGAAACTCTGGCCAAAACACGTTACTCATAGACAAAACCATGTAAAGACCGTCGAATAAGGTGCCCGTGTTTATGTGTCGCGGCTCATATGTGTTGCATTAATTAAAAGATGAAACACACAACGCAAAAAGCGATGCGCGCCATTCAGCAATCCCTATGTCTAATAATGATTTTATGTAACCCCACCGCCCGAAAAGCAAAATCGGTGTTTCGCGACCATCTCGCGTTTCTCAGGTGGGGCATTTCTCAGGTGAGTTGGAGACTCTTGGACCGCTCTTTCGTCGGAAGTTGGAAGCGGGCCAGCGTGTTTTGGGCTGACCAAAACAAAGCACTTTTCACGCAATCTCTTTTGCCGGTATATGGGTGCTTCATTATCATTTGATGGGTCTTCTGTCTGTCACAAATTCAGGTAATATTTGGGGTAATTTTACCAAGTGCAGATAAATAAATTATCCATTTGAATTTGAAAAGTGAATGTGTTTTATTCCCTTCAACTATTTTTACCTATTAGTATTTGACTGAACCTGTGCTTGAAAAAAATGAAAGTGTGGTTGCGTTTTACCCAGAACAAAAATGAACTAGCAGTAAAAAGCAGACACGCCTTAAATGTTTAATTTGAAGTTTAAGAGGCCGTATCTCTTGTGAAAACAAACCTATTTGCTTGAGCTAGTCATACCTTTGCTACCCTACCAGGGAATTTCCCTTTTTAACAGATATTTTAGACATTATTACGCTGGCAATTTAAATAATTTGCGTGTGTCACAATTTTCTTGGCTGACATTGGCGGTGCAGATTAAAAAGCAGTTACCAGATTGCAGTGCTGTAAAATAAATCCCAGAAACACCCACAAGCATAAGGAGAAAAAGCACCATGACCCCCGTTTTGTCGGCAATAGAACTCAGAAAACTCAGAATTGGAAACCCGTTTGAGCCTGGGCAACACTCACCCCACATCATCCACTCCAAATGTTGCCGAGCTGCCTCTTCAACAGCCCGAGGTATCTTGGAAAATATATACAGCGATCAAGAACCGCTTGACCTTCAGCCAGAATGGCTGCAACACCATATTTCATTTTTATTTTCAGAGTTATTAGAGTTTTGCGAGTTTTTAGCATTTAACAAAAGCCTCGTAATTGCACAGGCAAACAGACAGCAGACAAGATTCGTTCTTAAATTAAATTATAAAAAAATTAATAAAACTCAGTGGCTGCTAATCGGTCCATAAATTATATGCAGCCGGCCGGATTGCCTTGACAGAAATATTCTTGAGCAAGTCTTTTGATTATCTGGCGACCTTAAAACGCTAAGGCAATTTTGGACGGAGATGTTACGAATTAGCAGGCATTTCACTTCTTAATAGAACTGGTTTCTAAGGTTCTTTTCGAGTTCATTAAAACGAGCTGTAATCTCTTAATGTAATTCTAGTAGGGACTTTAAGCCCCAAAATATAAATCCAAAAATCAAGTTTACAATCTCTAGTCAAAAGACAAAGAACAGAAAACGGAAACGAATCGAATCCATGGGTGTTTAGCACCATCAATGAGTATAAACATTTTATACGATTTATCAAATCCATTTCCTATACACGATCCACTGCAATGGCCAAGAGCCGAATTTGTATCTTGTATCTTGCGCTTCCGCATTTAAATTTATGTTAATTTTCTTTGTTTTTTTTTCTCGAAGGGGGGAGGTTGCCAATCGCCGGATCCGCGGAATGCGAATTAAGCAGGCCCCCATCGATTGGGAATCCAAGCGAAGCCGGGTCCAATTATGATGGATATTCTGCTATTCAGTGTCAAGATCAAGTCCCCTTCCATTGTCTGCGCTTTGGACCTTTTTCTCTGTATCTTTTTTCTGGGTCTTAAGTCTGAGCCAAGTCTGTTCGCAGTTTATGGCTATTTTTATCACTCCATCGAGTGTTCGACGAGCTTGTTATGTGAGTGATTTATGGGCGGCTTCTGGCTGCTGTTTCGCCGCGATTCTTTATATTTGGTAATTGTTTCTCAGATCGGCAAACTAATTCGTGCAAATTGCGTGTGAAACGCAGAGTCAAGGTGGTGAAAGTCGGCGGATCCGGCCCTATATCAAGATTAATCCTAATTCAGGTTATAATTTGTTTATTTTGGGGCTGTTTTAAAAAAGCATATTATTCCTGCCAGTTTAATCTGAGACTGGTTCCAGGGTTATTGCTCCTTTTTAAATAACTTTCCCGTGATTGAAATTCATTAGAATTATGCCAGCACTGCATGCCCAATTGCCCGGCGACTTATTTCTCGTTTTGTTTGCCTCCAATCGACGATGTGGCGTATCGCAAACAAATACAAAATTTGTTAATTAAATTATGTGTTTCACCGGGCAAAGGCAAGACAAAAGACAAACAGAAAATGCATAAATCACCCGTTATTGCAATCTAATTTCCAACAGGTTTTCGCATTTCAAAACGTTCAAAAGTGGCAGTTCTATAAATCAATTAGCAGTTGGCTCTAAAGAGACCACGAACTTGGCCAAATATTGGGGCCCACGATCTTCCGCAACGAAAGTGAAGTTCGGAAAGTAAAGTTCATTAACACTCGGGTTTTACGACGTATTGGTTTTGGTAGGCTTCGATTGGAAGCTGATCACAGAAATTAGCACCTGCTCGTCGGCGCTTGTTTGCCCTAGTAATCATAGACCCCAGTGACTCAGGGTCATTATCACTAACTGGAGCACCCATAAATACGCGAGAGAGGCATAAGAATTTTGGAGGTAATTCTTATCATATCCGAAAACTCACCGTCGTGATCCACATTCATTTCGATGGCGTTGCCCAAAAAGGGCATGGCTGCAGGTCCCGGGATCTTTTCAATATACTTCACCAATCGCGATCGACGCTTGTTATAGACCACCAGGAATAATACGAGGGACCGATTAGTAAAACCGTAATCGGGGAGTACCCGATATCACTTGGCCTACTTTAGAGAGCAGAATGCTCTCGGCCATTAACGAGGTTACCACTTTCGAGGACATCCTAGCACAGATCTCTCCACAGATCGTATAGTCTTTCAGCTGTGTGACTACAACTTCACTTTCCGTATATTATATATCCCTATCGCACGGAGATTCGAACCCGGACCCGGCGACTCAAACGCTGCGAACTCCAATAGACAACTAACCAAAAATCCGAGATTGCACAAAAATTTAAAAAGAAGTGCTAAAAATTTCGGGCCAAGCGTTTCGGGTTTCGAGACGAGAGTCTCGCGAACTCTCGGCTTTGAATCGCATTTGAATCTGAGGCTGTATAAACTGCGCCAGTATTCGTGAGTATCTCGATCTCTTAGCCGGGTCTGTCGGTATTGGTAATAGCGATAGACGGGGCAAAAAAGGTGGCCAAAACAAGCGTCTTGCAGTCACATTGTTGCCTAATGACTGGGCTTTTCGACTGTTTATGAGACCTACAAATCGCTGCAGTTGGGATTACGACTTCAATTGTGACGTTTGTGTACTTTATCATACCATCGGAGGGTACTTTAATTTCAATTTTAGGTTTGTGCGAGCAGAAGAAAGGTCTTTTCGATGCGAAAAGGGAAATGGATGTATTTTATTATACCTGTTTTCGAATGCATGTTTTTTTCCCCCAACTGGTTTCTATGCAAATAAATGGTGGTCTTCAAAAGCTATTCAATTTGAACTTGAACCATTTCTGTTCTATTTAACAAATGGGTATTATTTTTCTATGCCAATATGCAGAAAAAACCGGTAAGTCCTCAAACAAAAAAATAGTATTATATTGCATAACTTTTCAACCGAAATATTAGCAAATATTTTAGACTGTGCAAAATATAGCATATATTTAATCGCTTCCTATAAGATAAAATGCTATATTTGCAAGAGCAGTTAAACTTCGTCATGTCCAAGTTATTAATTTCCATAATTTCTTACTTGGCGCTTTTATTGCTCGCCCTTGTGCCTGAATGGCAAACTTCAAAGCTGAAAGATCTCTTCAATTCAGTCAATTAAGGGGAGGGGCGTCTACATGTCAACCCTTTATGAAGACTTTAGCTATAGCTATAGGATTAGACAGAAGTTTAAGTTCCGCCCAGATATAGCCACATAGCCTTGGCTAGCATTTGGCAAGAAGGTTGGAACTGGGATTCAGATAAAGCCGCTCGATTCTACGATCGCTCATTAACTGCAAGTTCGGATCTCATTATAAGACTGCAATTAAAACGAGCTTAAACGCACTGTCATGTCCGCTAGTAGACACTTCATAATGGGAGCGTTTGACTCGAGGGCTTTCAGAAATCAAAGTTATAGGTAGACTGCCACCTTCGTGAGTCAGAAGATTCTGCGACAATTAGCGATAGCTTGAGGACTCGATCTCTAATAGAGATCCAAGACCGATTGTCTGCCGCATGTTAAATGTAACCCAAGGTTAGGAGGAAGTTTCCTTGTACCCGCCACCAGCAAAACTCGTGCCCGTTCTTATTGATGGTGATGATCGAGGTGGAACCAGCGTAACTCGTTTTGGGTTCTTGGTTAAGAAAATTAATATTATTTCGCCGCCTGCGTTTTGGGTTTCGTTTTGGTTTCTTCTTATTTGTAAGCCACGGAACCTGTTCTCTCGAAACCCATAGAACCTCGTATTACTGATGCAAAACTAAAGACTTCCAGCCACTCCAGAGATTTGTGACATAATCCCAGAAATCAAAGAGTGATTTTTTACCACGCGAAATAAATTATAGAACCGGACCTCAATCCCCAATCTGCAATTCTAAAGGTTCTTTTGCATATTCAAATACCAAGCTGCCAAGAGTACAATCGAAAGGTCAGGGACCATATAGGAAACCTTTTTTGTAACAAAATTCAATGGCCACATCGATAGCTCATTACAATTGAACCTTTGTGGCTAGGAAATCGAGTGATTACGAAACCCAAGAAAATGAAATCTAGGAAGTGGAAGAAACCGCCGCTCGACTCGACTCGTTCTTTAATTAAAGAAGAATTAACAGCTTCGCGGGGGAAAAAGCGGATTGCCGAAAATGCCGAGTCATGCTCAAAACCACTTATGATTTCATTTAACAATTTTATCATCTAATTCTGCGTATTTCTGTTTACTTTATATAGACATGCAGTTCCACAGAAGATTAGAGCATAACACACAGAACATCGCTCTTAAAAACTAAAGTATCTCAGGGGCTTCCCCTTCGAAAATAGTTGTTATGATGGTCTTCTTTGTTTTGTTTTGGTTTTCGGTCTTCGGCTGGAGTATGTTTGTATGTTGTATATGAAATATGCCTACGTGCAGTTGATCCGTGACTGATTTGCAGCGGATCCAAATCCGATATCCGACTTCGGGCATCTCGCATGTCTGTGCTAATAAGCGGTGAGCATCGTGAATGACTTATGCGGAGGGCCTGCCGTCCTCTACCTCAAGCATTTCAAGATCAAGGGCGTTATACGATCCGACCGGTATTCATTCATCTTCCTGCTCAGTCAAGTTTCAAGTGGAGCAGGAAAACCAGATAAGGTTGAAATCCAAGATTAGAATGCCATTGAGCAGAGCATATTTTCATAACAATTTTAATACTACTAATATACTATATATTTGGCCGAAAATTTTCCATTCAATTTTTTTTAACAAAAACACCTTTATTTTTAGCTGTTTTTCAGTCGTAATTTGGCCAAACCAACGCCACAGCTAAAAGCCGACTGTTTTAAGCAGCTCTCAACCAAGGCTAACGATCTGCACCACTTTTGGGAAATTAATTTTTTGAACAATTTTCGCATTTTTTAAGGGGTTACTCATCTATTTTTGCGAAAAATCGACAAAAAATAAAGTTTTCAGGTTGAACGCCAATCGATTGGGAATTTAATCACGAGCTCAGCGAGGTATGGCACTCCTCATTCTGACCCTATTTGCAAAATTATCGCCAAAATACGTAGTTTTTTTGGACAAAAAAGGGATTCAATTTTTGATCAAAAATACCTTATTTTTTAGCGGTTTTTCAGCCGTAATTTGGCCAAACCACGCGCACAGCCAAAAGCCCGACTGTTTTGAGCAGCTGACAACCAAGGCTAACGATCTGCACCACTTTCGGGAAATTAATTTTTTGAACAATTTTCGCATTTTTAAGGGTTACATCATCTATTTTTCGAAAAATCGACAAAAAAAAAGTTTTTAGGTTGAACGCCAATCGATTGGGAATTTAATTACGAGCTCAGCGAGGTATGGCACTCCTTATTCTGACCCTGTTTCGCAAAATGATGCCAAAATACCTCGATTTTTTGGACGAAAAATGGGATTTCATTTTTTGATGAAAAATACCTTATTTCAAAAAGTTTTTTATTATTAAATTAGTTTTTAGAAAGAAAATTGTTAGTTCTTTAAATAGATTTTCCTTAAAGGAAAACATTACCATCACTCATACATATCTGGTTCATTTTGGACAACACTCAGTCGCAAATCTCACCCCTAAGCAATCAGGGTAGTTATTGCTTCTCAGCCATAGTTAGAATAATTCCCAACTGGTTCTAGCAGCTGCCTCATAGAGACCCCAGATTCTAGTAGAGAAAAGCATACTTACCTGGCGTAGAGGTCAACCGTGATCACGAAGGCGGTTCCTCCGGAGCGAGACTTATCCATTGCACCTCGGCTGAGTTGACCTCTGCGATTATTCCTAATGTGAATAACTCGTGCGTGTTATTTTTGGTAGCCGGGAATGGCGTTCGCGCCGTCCCGAACTTAATAATAAATGTAAATATAATAGTTTAAAATACGATTTTTTGCGTCTTTTAATGCGTAACAAACCGCTTTGTAAACATGAACAATTCTAATTATATTAAATAATATATTTTAATCCCTATTTTTTTGCTGATTTACATATTGAAAAAAGGTTAACGGTTGTTGACATTTTGCGAGTCTTATCTGCTTGCGTGTGTTGCCCATTCAATATTTTATCATATGCTTAGAAATAAGCGTTCCAAACGTGTTTGGGCTTCAATAAAAGCTTGCTTAGTCTCCCGCAAAGCAGTTCAATGGGTCAAAGCTAGCACGGTCTCTTCTAGTTGGGTTACTTCTCCGTCTATAGGTCTTTATCTATACTTGAACTTGATCTGGATGCTGGACGGATTACGTGCGGAAGAAGAGAGGCCAAGAAGTCGAGAAGCCTTCGCCAAAAGTCAGCACTAAAAGAGTTGTAGATCTTAACTATAACTTCAACTGTTCTGCTTTGCTTTTGCTGTTGGTGCTATGTGTTCCGTTCGTTTATTGCCTTTATAGCATTTGAGCATTTGACTCACAAATTATGGCCAGCGGTGGCTGAATTGATTAGCTCGCAGTCGGCTTTGGCTAGCGGTGTTTTAGCCCCTCGATAAGGTCAAGTTCATTTCCGCATGGTAGTTAGTTTGGCTTAGTTGCCCGATCCCAAAGGCCCACTACCCCAAAGTAACTGGGGTTTCGGCCAGATTTCATGCGAAGGGAAATTGCACAAGAGGTCAGTTGGAGGGGCCATAAAACAATTAGCCATTAGACGGCCTTATGCGACGCAGTCGGCAATCGCGGCAATTAGAGTTGGTAAATCTCAGTAACAATCTCTCCGCGGGTCACGCAATTCCGTATACCTTTGCCCCTTGATTTTGTATATTTTGTGTGCCGGCGTGTGAACTGCCGAAATTTCACTTTCACGGATGAACTCACTTCTTATCCGACTTGAGATAGTTTGAAGGAAAGTACTAGATTAAAAACATTTGAAATTTTATAATCCTTTAAAACCACTTCAAATTATGAATGATATAAAAAACGATAAAAAACAGCAATTAGCTCGCTCTTGAAATCTTGAAAATTAAAGTTAGTCGAATGATTTACGGGTCTTACTTATAAGAGTGTTAATTGCTCAATTTCCCCTTCACAGTTGAACTTGATTGTTCTTTGGCGGTCCACTTAATTGCCATAATGTGTCTTGTTCAGACAGACTTCACTGTCAATGGTCAAGTGCAGTGTCTGGCTGCCATTAACCCGCTGTACTCGAATGTGACAAATCTGTCAAGAGATGAATAAAATACCTTTTGGCTAGTAAAAATAGAAACTGAATTATACTGATGCTAAAGTTACATAATGTCTTGATATCAAGTTATTTGCATGATATGTATAACTAACATTTTTTGTTAGATATAATATTTCGAGATCTTAGCCAACTAACAGCACAATCAGTTCTTATAGTTCTCAAACATTTTACCATTTTTTTAAGTTACATAAAATATATGCTTTGTTTTTCCACACTTCAGCACTTCAGGGGGTTAAACTCCGTCAAAGAACCGAAATGCAGTGCCAGGCATTGCAATCCACGGTCAACACGACGGGTTTCAGGTTTCCTTCTAAGCCCCTGAGCAGCCGAAACGTTGGTTTTGACACAGATATAGCTAATGTTATGGCCGTATTGGCCTATCGGGCTTGCATTTGGCATTTCGTTGGCCAAACCACCGACTTCGACGTACGGCCACCAGGTGACCTCGACTTTCAATCGCATGAGAATGTGTCTGGCATTCTTTTCGAATGTATCTTCAAGATGTTTCTCACACAGATCGGATACGCACCTGAAATCGAGAATTACATGCCGATAGGCATCATAGAATAACAATTGCGAGTGAGATGCATTTTCGGCGAGACTACGAGCTTTACATCTGGGCAGGCTCACATCAATTAACCCGCAATTACAATAGAATTTAATCATGTGCCTGCTAGCCCACGTAAAGTAGCCGGCCAAAGGGGGTTAAGCGATGGGGCCGAGAAAAAGGGGCGTATTAATAACCGCGCTAAGTTCAAGAACATCGCTGATGGTTATTGTCATAGTTTTGCCGCGGCACTCTGTAATTAAATCTGCGGATTGCAATCGATTAACATAAATATGTTTGAGGCAGTTGCGCGTGGTGAAGGTTTCGCCTGGCCAGTGAGTGAGTGACTTGATAAATTGTTATGGGTCTAACACATGTAATTTCCTTCCTTGCTGTCAATTTAAGGTAATAAGTTGAAGGCGAATGTACTAATATTTCATGGGAGGCCAATCTTGATTTTTATGTTTGCTGTTACAAAAAATAGGTTTGATTCGCGTGTATAATTTAATATTTTCGAATTCTGGTAGAAAGGTGAGTTAGAAGTGCACTTCCAAAGCATTACATTTTAGTCAGTTATTTTAAGGTGAAATAAAGTGGTTAGCCAATACTGAACTTTCAGATGCACTGACTTAACCAATACGTTGATTCTTCATTATTAATTTGGTGTTTATTATTGTCAAATAATCGTTAAAAGTTTCCTTGAAATTTGGTTACCAAGCTATCCAAAAATCTAAAATAAATACCTCCAAAATATTTATAAATGATAATAAAATAAGAAATAATATACTAATTTACATCCCAGATCAATTGAACAATTTTGAACTTGCTGCTTTTGAAAATAACGGCCTGTAAATGTTATTTAACATGCCAGATAGCAGAGACACCTACATCAAGCCGAGACACAACCCATAATTTTAAAATCCAGGGATCACGTTATTCCCTTGAGTTGTATGGCCTCCGGGAAATCACCTGTTTGGTCCTTGATGTCTATATATGTTAAACCCCAACACTTCTTCACAGTACTTTTGCATCAGTTGCGCATACTACTAGTGTTATTCAAAATATATTTTTGTAAAAAGCGATATAGCGATATCAGAATCACGATATTTATTTTTATTCAGCAAATATCGATATATGATACTTTTGTATATTTTCCATCCCTGGTTGAATTTTAGCTGCAATTGCATTTCCAAATTCATTATAAACGCCCGTCGTAATCGCAAACAGAGCATCGAAACTAACTCCCCCGACTCTAGAGAAGTACAGTGAAACCGGGAACATGGAGAGAGCAGGCCTCTGGCCCTTTTGGCACTTTGCTGCGCCTTCGGTGAGTGCTAATGGCGTCGTTAGAGGGACTGTGATAATAGTTTAGTCATAGCTAATTGCGTATTCGCACTGTGCACTCTACACTCTGTTCCCCCCGACTTATCGACTCTTTGTTTGTCTTCCGCTTTTCCCAGGCTTCTTCGCCGCTGCCACGCCCATCGGGGGCGATCAAAAACTCCTGGGAGCCAGTAAGTGCACCTGGGGACCTTCGTACTGGTGCGGAAACTTCAGGTGAGTGGGTGACTAACGGGAAAACCGGATAAATCGCTTGGTCATCGGAGACCCCCGCGAAAAAGTTCTCGAAGGGGAGCCGCTAACCCCTTTTAACCCTCCCATATCGCGTTATTTTTACGGCCCGTCTCATTTGTCCATTGTTTGCGGTTCAGACTCCTTTGTTTTTGTTTTCCTGCCGATAAGCCTATCACTCGGATCGAATCGGACTGTGCTCTATATGGCTCTATTAGTTAATAACCCCTGTTATTGCAAACTTAACACTAGTGCACATGTAACTATTTTCTCTTGGTGTATTTTTCGCAATGCTCTCTTTTCACATATCCTCCCATGTTTCTGCATTCCCTTTGTCTTCGAATTCGCTTTAAATCAAATTAACAAAATGCAGACAGACGAAACTTTTCAGACAGATGGGGGAAAAACTTTATCGCCATGATTATGTGCATGAGTAATCCCAAAGTTCTGATCATTCTGAATCGCCTCCTCTTCCCTTTTTCCCTTCACCGCGAAGTGAAGCGCCTGATTGGTTTATTTATCATCGTAAAATGTGGTGTTGTAAGCGGCAACAGTTGTTTCTTATCAACAGATTCTGACTAATCCCACAGGTATAGAATGAATACAATGGAACATCCAAAAGTGCAATTAGTAAATATATCATCCCAAAATAACCACACTTGGAATTCCTTATCTAACTTCTAATAATGGAACCCCACCTTTAAATACGATTTCAAGTGAGAACTCGCCTACTTGGTCGATGTTTAGAGGTCCCACTGTATTTGTGTAACATTGAGTTCAAGTTACAAACAGCCTTTTGTGGATTACTTAATTAGCAGAATAAAAACAATTTGTAGGCTACTGAAAACATTTGTTAAGCACCCATCGCTTATCACTGGTCGTAATCCTTTGTTTATTGATTGATTTATTTTTAAACGGCGAGGAAAATCCACCATTTCTGGCTCTTAACTGTTTCTTTGTTTGTCAATTAACGGCGAAAAAGTGTAGAGCCACGAAAATTAAAAACGTCGCCATTGCAGAAATTTCGAAAAACAATGTCTGTGAATGCGCAGGCAAGTGAATATTGTATATACGTGGATACGTCCAGATATTTCATACATATCAACTGTTTATTTCCGTGCTTATCTTGCTGTTTTTGCTTTCTAGACCCTTTTGTTTGGTATTCCTGGTGGTTCCAACACAGACATCTTTTGATGGTATTAGAAATTAGCACTTTTCCGATCGAATCAGATAAGTTGATTTAAATTGGATAAATTCATTTAGGTGGTGTGTAGTAAATTGTTTTGGTTTGGTATCGGAATTTAAAAAGCTTTTAGGAAATACTTGTTAAATAAATTTTGGGCTATCAGCTTTTCTCTTTCTACAGAAGAGTGGGTACCAAGACGTTCCGTCTCGGAAGTTCAAACTCTTGTAGAGATTATTTTAAAAGCCCAAGCTCAAAAAACCCCCATGACTAATTGGAAATTAAGATCATAATGAATAGTTATAGACTACAACTATAACTTATAGTTATTCACATCCTGTTTGTATTACTTTTATCCAATTCAATACCCCTGAGAATCACAATCATGTGAGCTGCTTGTGCGTTCTTAAATAGACTAGGGTTCCTCCCTTTTTAGTGGACTCTGATCTTTGCTGACTCGTCGCCTTCGTCTCGGTCATTCGATTACGAATGCGGGTCATTTGATCCAAGCGGTGGCATTCTGCACGATCAGCTTACAAACCGACTGCACTTGTTATTTATAGTGGTTTATCGTTTCGCTAAGGGCAAAATTCCTAATATCTCTTTTTCTTCACTCTACAGCAACTCCAAGGAATGTCACGCCACTCGCCACTGCATCCAAACCGTTTGGGAGACCCAAAAAGTCCCCGTGGACACGGACTCGATCTGCCAGATATGCAAGGATATGGTGACCCAGGCCCGCGATCAGCTGAAGAGCAACGAGACCGAGGAGAGCTAAGGAGGTCTTCGAGGGCTCCTGCAAGTTGATTCCCATCAAGCCGGTCCAGAAGGAGTGCATCAAGGTGGCCGATGACTTCCTGCCCGAGTTGGTCGAGGCCCTAGCCTCCCAAATGAATCCCGATGTAAGTTTAGACAAAGCACCTTCCCCGCAATCCCTTACTGATATATTATATTTCTGAACCCTCAGCAAGTTTGCTCTGTTGCCGGACTTTGCAACAGTGCCTACATCGATGAATTGTTCAGGAAGGGCATTCAGTCGGGACTTGATGGAACCGCCCAGGAAGTAGATGAAAGCTCTGAAGAGACCGAGTTGACCTGGCAGCCCAATCAACTCTCCTGCGGCAACTGCAACATGCTTTCCCGCATGATGCACTCCAAGTTCGAGGCCGCCAATCGCGATGACATGGTGGAAACGATGCTCCATGTGTGCGGATCCCTGTCCAGCTTCTCCGATGCCTGTGCCAACATTGTACTTACCTATTTCAATGATATCTACGACCATGTCAGCAAGCATCTGACCTCGGATGCCGTATGCCACGTGTCCGGAGTGTGCGCCTCCAGATACCACCAGCACGAGGAGGACAAGCAGCCGGAAGAGGCCTTGGTGGCCCTTGATGCTGGCGATGACATTCCGTGCGAGCTGTGCGAACAGCTGGTGAAGCACCTGCGCGATGTTCTGGTGGCCAACACCACGGAGACCGAATTCAAGCAGGTTATGGAAGGATTCTGCAAGCAGTCGAAGGGATTCAAGGATGAGTGCCTGAGCATCGTGGACCAGTACTACCATGTTATCTATGAGACTTTGGTCAACAAGCTGGATGCCAATGGAGCCTGCTGCATGATCGGCATTTGCCAGAAGCAATCTGCCTCGTCGATGAATGATGCTCCCATCATGCCGCTGCTGCCTGTTCTTGAACCCGCCCAGGTGAGATCACCATCGAGAAGCTGGAGAAGCACGAGAGGAAGCAGCTGGGCGCCAGCGAGCCCAAGTTCAGCCAGCAGGAGATAATGGACATGCAGCTGCCCATCGACCACCTCATGGGTGCCGCTAACCCCGGAGCATTGGTGGAGGGCGGAGAGCTCTGCACCCTCTGCGAGTACTTGCTGCACTTCATCCAAGAGACTCTGGCCACCCCGGCCACCGATGACGAAATCAAGCACAGCGTTGAGAACATCTGCACCAAACTGCCTGCGGGAGTCGCCGGTCAGTGCCGCAACTTCGTAGAGATGTATGGCGATGCTGTGATTGCTCTGCTTGTCCAGGGACTGAATCCTCGTTCCGTGTGCCCCTACATGCAGATGTGCCCGAAGAACCTACCCAAGAAGGACGACGTCGAAGTGTTCCATCCCGTACCAATCAGCGATGAACAGGATTCCCCCACTTGCCCGCTGTGCCTTTTTGCCGTCGAGCAGGCCCAGATGAAGATCCGCGACAACAAGTCGAAGGACAACATCAAGAAGGTTCTTGGTGGCCTATGCTCCCCTCTGCCCAAAAAGCTAAAGGACGAGTGCGTGGACTTTGTAACACCTACTCCAACGAGCTGGTCGACATGCTGATCACAGACTTCAAGCCGCAGGAGATTTGCGTGGAACTGAAGCTCTGCGAGAAGAGCACGGATGCTCTCAGCGACTTGGGCATTGCTCTGGAGGACGATGTTGATGGTGAGGACAAGTCAAGCAGCGAGGAGATCAGCTCCAACAACATCGAGTCCCTGGAGGAACTGCCCATTCAGTTTGCTTTCGACGAAGGATTCAACGCCGCTCCCAACTGTCTGATCTGCGAGGAGTTGGTCAAGGAGTTGGAGAAGCGCATGGGCAAGCACCCCACCAAGGACAGCATTAAGCAGATCCTGGAGCAGTCCTGCGACAAGATGAAGAAACCGTTGGCCGGTAAGTGCCACAAGGTCATCGACAAGTACGGCGACCAGATTGCCAATCTGCTGCTCAAGGAAATGGACCCCAAGCTGATCTGCACCGAGTTGGGAATGTGCATCTTGGCTGATATAGATGATCGTGAGTTTTTATGTCTGTGCAATACCTTTTCCATATTAATAAATATTATTTTCAAATATAGTTGAGGTGGATGAGGCCTTAAAGTACGACGTGATTGCCGTGCCCCATCAGGACAACAAGGCGTCCAGCATTAACGAGCCGCCTACCTGCGTCCTCTGCGAGTTCATCATGACCAAACTGGAGGCCGATCTGAAGAACAAGACCGAACAGGACGACATTAAGAAGGCGATTGAGGCGGTCTGCAAACGCCTGCCAGCCACCGTTCGCAAGCAGTGCGATACCTTCGTAGACGGATATGCCGTTGCGGTCCTTAAACTGCTGAGCGATGTGCCGCCCAAGGAAGTGTGCCAGAAACTGGAGCTCTGCTTCAGCGTGGCCGTCACCGACGAGGTGGTGGAGTGCGGTGTGTGCCATGGAGTGTCCCAGTCTCTGTTGCCCTTCCTGCGCGAGAAGAAGGATGAGGCGAAGGACGTGACCCCCATGCAGATGACATCGCTGGCTTGCGAGAACTTGCCGGCCAAGTACTACAAGATTGTAAGGCTATATATTTCTTTATAACACCCAAATCTTTAATTATCTCTATTTTAGTGCTCTGAGATGATCTCCATCTATGGCAACAGTTTTAAGAACTTGGCCCAGCGATCCTATGTGGATCAGTCGCACGTCTGCGCCGAGATTGGAAAGTGCTTCGATAGCGAGAAGTCTTCGCTGGCCTTTGCCAGAATTTCAGGTACACAGACCTGTAGAGCCCCAAAAAAATCACTATAACTTTACTCTCTTCCACAGCTTAAGTGATGCGTTGTGATGTGCGAGAGAGACGAGGATGAGAAAGAGGATTAGCAGAAGGTTAGATAAGGAGGAGGCAACTGATCCAACGCTTTATATATGCATATACCTTTACATATATCTGTTTACATTCTATAACGATTTATTGTAAATGAAACATATTTACTTACTTTTCGTTTCTGTACCCTGGTTTTGGCTCTAAATTTGTTAGGAGAATTTGTGATGAAACTGATTTTATAAACGCACTCAAACCCCGGCTGAAGAAAAGTGAAACTTAACTAAAACTAAAACTTACACTAAGCAGTAACCTAACGTACTTTCAATATACGAATTAGCGAAATCCACAAGCCATTAACTTTGTATCGATATCCCCATCTGTCCGAAGTCAGCTGAGCAGTGTGTAGTTTAAGATATCAAAGAAAACTGTGTAAAATACGAACATTGATCTTATAAATCATAAAGAAAACTAAACCGACAAAGCAGCACATTATTGAAAATTCTCTGGATGCGTGTATATATTTCCTAGCTGATATGTTCCAGAATTCCCTGTTGATTATTAAGCCGGACTATCTGCACAAGCGGCGTCCGGTGCTTCTGAAGTTGCTGGCTGAGGGATTCCAGCTGCAGGGCAATCGCAGGATTGCCTTTTCGCCGGAAACTGCGGCCGAGTTCTATGCGGATTATGCCGATGAGAAGGGCTTCATGCTGGAGGTCATTCTCCTTTCGAAGGGTGTTTCCGAGGCCTTCATAGTTACCAAGGAGAACGCCGTGCAGGAGCTGCTCAACATCATGATTTGTTACTTGTGAGTCTGGGCTATATGGTTTCTTCTACTGTTAAGATTGCTTCATTAGTGGCTCTGCATCGGAACTGGAGCGGAATATCCATGTCACCAAAAATAGTTACAGCGTTGCTCGGGAGATCAACTTTATTTTTCCCAACTGTGAGTAGGATGTTAGTGATATGCATGGTATTTCTATATTTAATACCATTTAATATTCCCAGATATCCATGAGCCCCACCAGATGTTCGATCACAACAACTTCTGCAACCGGCCCATGCTAAAGCCGCTTATGCAGGAGATCTACGACATTATGCAGAACGTGGACTGCAGCCAGGAGAACTGGAAGGTGCGCCTGTCCGACTACCTGGTGCGCAGCAACCCGAAGATGCCGCAGGTCAGCAACCAGTGTCAGCAGCGACCGGATGTGGGCATCCAGGACAAGTCGCAGCAGACCACCATGACCTATGCCCCGATGCCGAGTGCGAGGGGTGTTCAGCCCCGGGAAAGAAGACCCAGAGCAGCAGCTCGCCCTTGTCGTCCTCGTCCCCGCACTCCTCGATGCTGCTCTCATCCAGTTCGTGTGTCACCTGTGGCGGATTCGAGAGGACCGAGCCTTGCATCTCGGAATTGGATCTCAACAAGCGAGTGGAACCGCACGACGAGGAGAAAGTCTGTGTGGATGAGGAGATCCTGTGGAAGGAGGTGGTTGTCTACGAGGAAATCCAGCCGGAGGAGGAGGAACAGGAAACCAAGGAGTCCAAGTTCGAGCTGGAGGAGGAGCACGAAGGCGAGCGGGTGGCTCGGATGCGGAGTCAGACAGGAGTGTCCATGATGTAGCACCGCCGCCTGCTCAAGATGAGGAATCGGATGCGGGCGAAACGCTGCTGGGGAGCCAGCAGAAGCTGCTCCAGCTCCAGAAGTGGTTCCGCCCGCAGAAGAGGCTCCACCCGCGCCAGAAGCTGCTCCCCCGCCCCAGAAGCTCCTCCAGCAGCTGAGAGGCTCCGCAGAGGAAGCTCCACCCGTAGAATAAGTTCAGGTCTCTAGTGCACCTGTTGCCCCATCGTTTGTTTGTTGAAGCATAGAAAAAATGGACTGAAATGCGCGCAATTCTAGAAACACCACATCCATTGCACCAGTAAAACCACCTTCAAATGGCAATTGCGCACTCGCAGAATTTCGGAAGGAGGTTCTGTAGTTTTTTATGCCTCCCCAAAAAGTGCATCCCACACGGCAGCAACGTCAACAGGAGCAACAGCTTTTTAGCCTCCAACTTCCCGCCAGCCAATAGCATTTTTTTCGCCCTTTCAAGAGTCCAATAAAAAATTGTAGAGAAATAAAACAAACAATGAAATAAATTAATTTATGGGCCAACTTTCGGTGCGAAAGTGTGCGTTGCATGTGGCACACTTTTCGCGATGCAAAGTGTCCTGCAATGTGGCTGCAATTAACCCAATTATAGGGATAACAATAGGCTTTGTATGCGCTAATTGCGATTTATCGATCTACGCGTTATTGTTTGATTAAAACGTACAGGCATTTTCAAGAAGAGTAGCTCTAATTAATGGTTAGGTTGCATTTTAAAATAAATCAGTATTTTTGTGAAGTCTAGCATTTAATTTAAAATCAATTAATTAAAACTGTTACAATGTTCATAAGAAAGCAATAGTCATATTGGAGAACCATGACAACAACAAGATGAAGCCTATGAACTTTGCCTTTGGGGACATAGGGTGCACCAGTGGTTTAAATAATAAGGTTTGAATATTTTTAAAAAATATATATTTCTATAAAGTTCCAAAAAGTAAAACACTTTAATAATTAAATAACTTAGTTTCTTCCTAAACTTTATAACACCGAAAAGAGATATTGAAACTGATCGTTAAAGCTATAATAGTTTCTTTGTCATCCAGACTCTAGTATTTCGACTCATAGCACTTCTGCAGTTTTTCCGTGTTCTTCCGGTCTTTCAAATACATTTTATATAGGGTTTTTTATACTATCCTTACCACTGTGGCCCTTTGAGCCACCTAAGCAGTTGAGATGGCGAAAAGTTGTTGGTGCTGCAGTTGATGTTGTTGTTGCGGTTGTGTGTTTCAATGCCGGACCGTTCCCTCGTTCCACTGTTCCCAGCCAACCACCACCGGAACAGTGGTAGTGGAATGGGGGTGGGAGAAAAGGAGAGAGAGAGAGAGAGAGCAAAAGCTTTCTCTTCCGCTCGGACGCCGTGAGGTATGCAATGCTTTTCGCCTTGCGAACGTACCGCTTCCGCTTTTTGTCGCAAAAGCAAAAGCAAATCGACAGTCGGTATCTGTCTGCCTGCGCTCTGCTCGCATCCCACATCCTGCATCCCACGTCCTGCGTCCTGCCGCCCTCCAAAAATAACAAATAATTACTCAAAATAATAATATTTCCAGGGGTGTGAGGCCGCGGAGCTTTCGCGTCGACGTCGAGCCAAAAAAGTGGCAGAGAAGAGAAGTGAATCGGTTTCGTTTTCGCAATACATACACAAACAATAGGCGCTGGGAAGTAGACGACGGCGAATCCTTGGCGGCTCAGCATTTCCACCGAATTCGCGTCGAGGAAAAGCGGAAAATCGGAAAAGCAGCTACCATTTTCGTATTGATTTTCAAGTGTGGTAAGCGCAAATCGCAGCGAAAACGAAAGAAAATGCGGTAAAACACGGGAAAAACCCCACCAACTGGCAGTGAAAAAGCGAAAGAAAATGTCAACGGCCAGGCAATCGGAAAGGGGCGGCGGTGGGTTAAGGAAGTGCTAAGAGATGCCTTAAAACAGGCGTAAAATTGCCGTCAAAAGCTAAAAATAGTCAAGTGATATAGTGCAGTGTCGGCGAAAAAGGTGGGAAAAGTTCAAACTCAAGAGTAGTGGCTAAATTATAGCGCGCTTAAAAATAAATCCGGGCAGACACGGAAAACCCTCAAACCACGGACCCAAAAAAGCTGAAGAAGCAGAAGAGGAAGCCCGAAGAAACGGAAGAGGAAGAAGCGGCCGGCATACACACACAACCACAAGGGGGTGGCAAGTCCAACAGTCCGAGACTTGGGTTGGGAAAAGCTCAAGTCACAAATTTTTGCGCAAGGGCAGGCCGAGTCAAACCGAGTCGAGTGCTTTTCCCCCTAAAAGGGGGTGTCTCTGCCGAAGTCGACGGGGCGAAATTTCGCAACACTCGCACAATCGCCCATCAACTCCCCCACAATTCACCGTTAGGGGTGGCATTGCTGGGGTTCCGGGAACGGAATGGGATTGGGACGATAAGACATACGAAAAGACTAACGGTGATGGGAATACCCTTGCAGACCCAAAGATCCCATGGGTGTATTCCGATTAAATCATTACAGATCATTTTAAAGTGTGATTGTACTTTACTGTATAACCATTTTGATATTAGGGTTAATATATTTTTAGAATCCAACATATTTAAAAATATATAAAGTGCGTACAAGATCAAGGTGCTTTTTATGCATATATTAAATCCTGACCGAATAAAATATTTACTAAAACATGTATAGCAATAGAAAAGGAACCTATATACTACTACAATAATTGCTTCTATAAAATAATTTATCATATAATTTTTAGAACGGCGCCGTTAACATGGACAAGATGACGGTTGCCCAGAAGAACGCATATCTCGAGGCCCACATGGCGGTGCAGCAGCAAATGGCCCAGGCGGCGATTCAGTTCAAACAGCAACAGACTTCGCAGCAGCAAAACTCCCCCACGGCCAACAACAACAACAACAGTCAGAACAACGGCAACATGCAACAGCAACAGCAGCAGCAGCAGCAACAACAGCAGCAACAGCAGCAGCAGCAGCAACAGCAGCAGCAACACTATGCGGCCACCATAAAGGTGCCGCAGATCAGTTCCTCCAGCGTGGCAGCTGCGGCGGCGGGGGAGAGCACCTTCACGGTTCCGGACGACGGAATGGGATTCGAGGGGGGCGTCAGGGTCCTCCAGAGCCTGGGCACCTGGTCGGCGGCCGAGCAACTGACCTACAACATCCCCAAGCCCAACCTCATCCCCTTCACAGAGCCCTACGTCGAGGGGGGCTCCATGCACCCCGCCAGCCGACTCAAGGCCCTGCAACAGGTGCAGCAGGCATCCTCGGGGGTGCGCAAGACGAATCCCTCGAAGTGTGAGTACTGCATTGATATTTTTTCGAAGGGTTTATGATAACAAACAGTTGTATGCCGGCTTCTAAGTAGAATTCAACCATTTTATTTCACCAATGAATACATCCATACAACCTAATCCTAGTTTACTGACTTATTCATAGCTGAAAAGTAAAAAAAATTCACCAATGAAAACTCAACAACGACAATTCACTGAGTCATTTATAAGTAAACTTAATATGAATCAGTACATAACAACACGACAAATACTCATCTATGGCAATTAACCAATAAATTCTTAACTGATAACTCACCACTAGTGATCAATTTACAATGACATTTTGATGATGGGAATTCATTTAAGGAATGAATTAAGTCACAAGCATTGGTATTGCATTAACGAAAATCTAAAATCCTTTAGGAAACTGTTTATTTTATTGAGAATTAACGATAACTCTCTTTTTCCAGCCACCAACAAGGCATTCGAGTGCACGGTCTGCGGCAAAGGACTCGCCCGCAAGGACAAGCTGACCATCCACATGCGCATCCACACCGGCGAGAAGCCCTATATTTGTGAAGTATAAGCTGCCCTCGAGCCCCTGCGACCTCCAGTGCCCCTCAATCGCTAACCCTCGCTCTCGAATCCCCGTTTCAGGTGTGCAATAAGGCGTTCGCCAGGCGGGACAAGCTGGTGATCCACATGAACAAGTTCAAGCACGTGACGCCCACGAATATTGCGCCACTGGGCAAGCGGCTGAACAACATGGTGAAGAAGAAGGAGCAGCCGGATCCCCCGCCGGAGGACAACAAGCAGAGCTGGAGCTGCAGCTGCAACAGCAGGCGGTCCAGGTGGCCGCCCAGAACATAATAGTGCAATCCGCTCAGGGGGCGCCGACGTCCATTCCCGGCATCATCATACCCCATCACCAGCAGCAGCTCTCCTGGACATGCGAGCTGTGCGGCAGGATGTTCTCGAGTCGGGACGAGTGGTCCATTCACGCCAAGAGTCATCTGGAGGTGAGAAGATGTCGGTAGACACTCCTGGTTGGGAATAGACCAAGGATGCACTTTTGGTTGCCCTCAAACAGATTTAACCGGTTTGTTTTACCTCTACTCCAAACTGTAGTATTGACAGCCGGAACGGCTAGTCGCAGAGTCAACAAAACCGGCAGCAGCAGCAGCGGCGGCAGGAGTCATTGCTAAGACCACCAGCAGCAACAGCAACAATAATCGCAGCTACCAAATGGATGCTAATCAAAACCAAATTCAGATGGAGGCCCAAGCACGCAAGCAGAAGATAATCATACAAAACCAGATGATACTCAATGCCAGCCACCAGCAGCAGCAGCAGCAACATCCTCCACAGCAGCAACACCAACAGCAGCAGCAGCAGCAGCAACAGCAGCAGCAGCAACATGTGGCCCATGGGAAGAAGGCGGCCAGAAAACACCATCAACATCTACAGCAGCAACAGCAACAGCAGCAGCCACAGCAGCAGCAGCAACAACAGACCAGTGCGCCTATGTACAATAACAATAGTAGTAGCAACCACAACGGCAACAACCAAAGCCAAGAAGTAACTACCTATTAAAACCAGACTGAAAACCCCACAGCCACAGCCACAGCCACAGCAACACCAACAGCCAACAGCAACATTGAACACCAAAAATCTGACCATTTCCGCATTCTGTATTCTGTTACCCTTCCGTTTACCCCTCTCCCTGCAAATCCAGGTGTCCGTGCCGGTGTCGCACATCATTGCCAATTCGCCAACGGCGGCCACCTACATGCAGGCCCAGTTGAGTGAGCACGCCAGCAACATGCAACACGGCATGCCCATTGTCACCTACAATGGCAACCAGTACTGCGTGATCACCAGGGCCCCGGATCTGGACGTGGAGGCGATGCAGAAGCCTCTGGACTACGGCCACGCAGCCGGTGGAGCCACCAACATCATAGTAATGTCGCCGATGCAACTGCTGCCCCCGCAGCAGCACAGCAGCAGCAACAGCAGCAGCAACAGCCGCAGCAACAGTAAACACCATCGAAGAGAAAGGCTTTCCCAGCCTACCAGCTATAAATACAAATTGTAAATAAAGTCTTAAGCAGCCGAGAGCGAACCTAAGTATATGTTTAGCCACAACACTACCCAGCAAAACCAAAGTTTGTAAATGTCAGATGCATAGTTCCCCGTGTCAGCAAAGTCCGCTCGAGATCGAAATCAAATGTAGTGTAAGCAACCTAACATATCCCCCGCAGAACGTATATAGTACCCATCTAACCCATAAGACAGCCACCACTGAGATATATATAGAGATGCCGTCTCGATGCAGTCTTCAGACACCGACCCTCCAAAGTAGCATCCCCACATAGAACCATACTCAAACCCAGCGTGTATGATATTTGATGTGTTTCTATGGCATTGTTTGTACATTAAGCTAATTACTTACTCCAATTACGTCTTCGACTAAAACGCAACTTGGGAGGTAAACCAAAAAAAACAAAAATACAACATATAATGGAATGAAAAACCAAAGTAGCAGTAGTAGTGTCCATCAGCAAAGCTCCCCACACATCCCCACTCGATTCCAATGGCAAACCATGTAAAGATCAAGCGAAAATAAATTTAATTTAATTAAATAAAATCGAAGGAGTCTTTAAAAGGGTTCTGTATTATCGAAACTAATTGGAGGGAGTAATATTTTATTACAAGTATAACTAGGGGTTAACTTATCTTATCTTTATGATTTAAGGGTTGTTTTCATAACATTTATAAAATGAATTATTCATTTCTTCTTTATTTTTCTGCAAAAAATTTATATCTTAAATAATTTTGCTTAGTGTATTATTTATGTCATTCTTTCGTATAAATCAGGACACTCCAAAATAATGAGCCCCTCGATGATCTAAATCTTGTAATGTTACGTATACGCAGGTTAGCCATACTGGGCATCATTCAAGTGACACTCACTTGTGGCCAAAAGTTCCCATAAAAAGCACCCAATAATTGGCGGCTGTTGTCGTTTATTATTCTTGGCGGCCAACTTTGGCGGCATTCTCGCTTTTTGGTCCATACAGACAGGCCAAAAGCCAAGTAAAAACCAAAACATTTGGTCAACGCTGAGCTCACGAAAATCAACTTTTCGTTCCAAAAGTGAAAAATGCCGCGATTTGACCTTAGATGGAAACTCGTCTCTGTGCGGCGCAGTCAGCGTCGCTGCCGCCGTCAACGCTGCATTGGCGGCAAATAAATTTCTGCCTCGAAATGCTGTTTGTGTTTGTTGTTATAATACAAGTCATTTGAAGACTTTTCAGGTGGGTATAATGCATTTTTTAAAACTATTGGAAAAACTATTAATTCGAAATATATGGTGCATACTTTTTACACCTTTGTAGTAATTTACAATGTAGTAATACAATTTTTAAAAAGGATTTAAACATTTAAAAAAAATTAAGGGTGTCTAAAAGTATGCAGCATCTTTTTTAGGTTGTTCAAAAACGTTAAGCCTTTAAAGAACCCCAATTTCAATGTCCATTATGCATTTTTCCAATATTTCCTCCGTAAGAGTATCTGAAATTGAAGAATACTGAAACCCCAGTTTTTACTCACTTCTCGAGTTGTTTTTCGCAAGAATCGCAAATTAGTCTGGGCCCCGGCTGATCACCTGAGCAAACTCGAACTCAAAGCGAACGCCTACGACAGAAGTGACAACGCTGCTGGCGACGCCAACATCTCAGCCATTTACTTGCTCTCAACCTCCGCCGGATTCTTTTTGTGTCAGTCGGTTTTCGGATCAGTCGCCGATCAGTCGAGTTGACCACTAAATACGGGGAAGCTCAGATCAGACACGGCGTGATCATGCTGAATGGAAAATTCTACACGGGTCTGCCGCCCAAAATGGTGGAGCGCCAGGGGGTGAAGGTGTGCAATCGCCAGGAGTCCCACTTCTTCTGGCCGGATGATTCCCGGGCGGATTCGGCGGTGGAAAATCGAGTGAAGAGGAGGAACAGTCAGCAGTTGGAAAGGCCTCTGGAGAGGATACAACCACTAGGGATCTCCCACCGAAGTGGACACACGGCGCAGGTTCCACAAGGAGTTTGCCAGCTCTTCCATACAGTTCTACGATAATCTGCAGTCCAATCCGGATAGAAAAATCCCTTAGGAAGGGCTTACGCAGGGAAATCACCCCAAAACTCACTGAAGTAGGCCCCAGGAACTGGTTAATAATCTGAGGATACTTCCAATCGCCGCCAGCAGGCTTACAGCTCCAAAATTCAGTTCTACGATTATGTAAACGAGGCAGATAATGTCACACAAAATAACGCCAGAAGACCCCAAATGGACTTCAATGACAAGCGTGAAGTAGAGCTCAACTCCAAGAACAGTCCCAAACTGCAGGTGAAAAGAGATGTGCGCAGTTTCAGTGTGGAACTGGAGCCCAAGGTCACCAAGAAGCCCCTGAATGACAGTCCCGAGTGGCGACGACCCGCCCACTGCCACAGGCACAGCCCAAAAGGATACTCAAGCAAAGTCCATATCAGGATCAGGATGCCTATGACTATGTGGAAAACCGCGTCAGAAGATTGCAGTTGACCCGGAGTCCTGGTTTGCCCAAGAAACATGTGACCTACAACGAAGAGGCTGCGGAATATGCCTACTACGATGACAGGGCGGATGGTGGGGATCGTGAGGAACCCACATACGAAGGTCGACCTCGTCAGCAGCCAAATATGCCGACAGGAAGTCGCAATCATCAACGCTCTTTTATGGAAACTAGTCGGGCCAAGCTATTAAATAATAATAATAATTATACGGCCAACCCGAGCGCTAGGAAAATCTTGCCAAAACTGCCAGAGAGCCAATCCAGAGGGGCGCCCATAGACTTGGTCGAAGACGATCCCCCTTGCCCTCTGACCCCCGCAAACACCTGCGCAGCAGCCTCTGCTTCAGCGGCGACGCTTTGATGGTGGGCGGTACGCCGACGACGGACAAGGCGACTGCGCAGGCGCGGCGCAGCTCCGCCGGCCAGAGAATCAGCGTGGGTCTGCCGGATTGAGATTGCGAGTGAGCGCTCCATTTTCCATGTTTTTTCAATGCAGCTACACAGGGAGAAATGCTGTCGAAATGAGAGGGAAATTAGGTTTTTGATTTAGGAAAAGTAAAAGAACTTTAAAAAAGTTCCTAAACATAGATAAACGATTCAGAAACTAACATTTAAAAAATCAACATATAAGTAAATCGTAAAAATCCTTTTAACCCAAAAAGTATTAGAGAAATGGAAATTCTTCTGCATCAATCTAAAAAAATACATTCCAAGACAATCAAATGGTTATTTCAAATCAGAGATGTAAAAACTACTTAATCTCAGAAAATAAGTTTTAAAGCTCTCCGCAGGGCTACATAAATTCAGCAACCAGATATATTTTTGCTTCCCTATAAGAAAATCTATTAAAAATCGTGTAATATTTATAATGTTTCAAAATTAAACCCAGATACAATAGTATATTTTTCCCTGTGTAGTAAAGCCGACAGCAACCACCTGCAATGCTAATTGAAAGCAACAACCAAGAAAATCGCCGACTGCGACTGCAGCAGCAACATCACAGCAGCAACTTGAATCGACAGCAGCAATATTTCTAGGCACGGCAGCAACTCAACGCTCTTCTCGAGTCTCACTTTAACGATCATCTGCCTAAGTTCGACTTCACCCACATGCGAATGAATGAGTCGGCTTTTGTTATTTCTGTGCGGTTGAATACATAAACAAACCTTGATCTTGACTAATTTGTGGGCATTGCTGTTGTTGTGCAATCCGATCATGTATTAATTTGGCTTTAAAAGCCAACGCAGAATAATCTACAATTATTTAATAGAGATATGCTAATAAACTGATACATAACCAAATGAACTCGAATTGGGAAGCATTCAATTAAGCCATAAACTTCATATAGGCACACAAAATTATATATAAGAACCTGTTGCTTTTTTTAAGATTAAGGGGTTGAACTAATAAAATAACTTATAATCTTAAAAGTATACGAAGCTCAAGTTTTTATTTCAAAGGGGAACTTAAATAGAAATGGAACTTGGAATGTTTGGAAAGCTACGAGCACCATAAATTCAAGTGCATGGTAAATATATGCCTTTTCGGGCCTCATTTCAATTGATAAGCCTGCAATCAATTTGGAAATGTTATGAATAATACGAAATTGGCGTGTACTCAAAGCAAGATATAATCGCGAATCAAATCGGCTGATCGGAACATTAATAACCCGATCAAATGTAATTTAAGGCACCCTTTCAAGCCCCTCTTTTTAACGGCTCATTTAAATCGCCTGCAATTTGCTAGTCTGGGCAATCAACTCAATGCTCTGGGCGGCTCACCTGGCCATGCCCATTTGTATTCCCATTCGCAGGTCCCTGCCCCTAGCTCCTTTCACAAAAAAGACTTTCAGAAACGAGGAGAAAAACCATTTTGGTGGCATTGTTAACAGCCAGCGGAAACCCCACCAGCTTGCAGTCAAGTTTAAGTCCAAGTTTAAAGTCGTTCCACAAGGAAGCGGGAAATTATGCGAGCTGCAACAATTGTGGAGCAATTGTCACGCGTGTTGAACTTGAGCTTGACCTTGTCTTGGGAAACGGGGAGTGGAGTCGCCTCCCATTGTCCAGCCAGGCCGGCAAATTGCAACCAGAGTGCCGCAATTATCCGTCGTACGCCATGGGGCTTCAATCGAGATTTAATTAAAGCATCGCTTTAATTGCCAGGCCAATCTGCAGCTGCCATGGGAACTCAATTTGAAAACCCAGAGACAGGATAAGCGTGCAAAATAATTGTGCAAATGAAGCGTGGTGAAATGTTACGCAAGTCCCTGTCCATATATCCATTGCCATTTCTCTTTCGAACGATTCCATTTCCACCTCCATTTCCACTTCCCCCAACTGGGAGACAAGACAAACTGCCTGTATATAGCATATACCTTCCGCATTTCGATCGCGCATCCTGGCCGATAGAAAGTAGTCCAAGCGCACCGGCAAAAAAGCAAAAAAGGCCAAAAAGCCGAGCCAGCTGGCTAACATTTCCTCGTTTTTGCCCCGGCTGAACCTGAACTTCGGGCCAAAAGCGGAGGGAAGAAAAGTGCAGCGTTTATTGGGTAATACTCGTGGAAACCCGTTTGCAGACGAAACTGATTCAAATAAGTCGATAAGGCGGCTCTTCTGCTTTTTTTAAGTGGGTGTGTGGCTCGTGCCGGTAGACCTTATGCACTTGGAGAAACCGGGTGTGGTAAAGGCGGCCCCTGAATCATGAATGTATGAAATCTTTTATATTATTAAAATAATACGGGACCCGGAAAAACTTTTTAAAATGGACCAAAAAAGTTGTCAAAAATAAGAGATAAAATTGAGAACCCTATTTAAATATCATCTCTGTCTTTTGTAGATTTACTGTGGGTAAGTTAAATATGGTATCTAAATATGGCATGTAAATAATTTTGTGGTTTGACTATTTAAGGCTAATTTATCAAATGTACAAGCTTTAAGCGAAATTGCTCGCCTCGAAAAGCTATCAATCTTTGCCTATTAACTTCATTGTCGTACTTTTCGCGTATCTAATTTGCTTACTTTCCTATTAAGTCACAGACCACAACCAAAACCGAGTCCCCTCCGCAGTTACAACCTCAAGAGGCAAATGGCCATAGTTATGTGTAATTACGGCTATAAAGAAACATTTTATTTATGCCCCCTGCCCCATCGCTCTATTTCCTAGTGGAAATGCAAATGATGCCTCAGTTTGCGAGTAGTTTGTTCAGTTTTTTCTGTGAGCTCTGTGTTGTGAGTGGTAAGTCCATGCGTGAAGCGGAGATTTCGATCTGCAGACTACTGGATGTACTGACTAGCTCACCTGGCAGGTTTCAATTGCGATTGCCATTGCAAAACATGTTGCGGCAGGTTCGAGGAAGCTGGCATAAAACTGTTGCGTCCGTCGGCCGAACTTTCAGTTTCGTTGGGGCCACGCTGGTGGTTAATACTGTTGAAGAGAGTTTTTCACAAAGACATAATCCCCCTAAAAGGCAGCCCACTCAAAATGAAAGTGTGCTGGAATGTAAGCGGTTGCACTTGTGGAATAATAGGTCTTCAATTACCACTAAAATGGATATTACCCCACAGTTCTTGGCTGCTGCGATGGTGTTGGTAACGGCCTCTTCTGGCCTGAGACCCCCTAGATCTTACTATCGAAGGAGCTACTTCAGTTCGGTGGCCCCAGTATCTGGACATGGAGCGGGTCCCGTGCCAGGACCCGTAAGACTGGGACCTGCTGGATATCTTCGGGCTGATCTGCAGACAAACGAGAGCAAGCACCGACCCCTGAGCAAAAAGTATCCTAAAAAGACCCACTACAGACCTTATGGATCGGTGAGTTGTGGTTAAAAGAGGGTGCAAGTGATAATTTATTATTATTTTCCAATCCCTGAGTGATCAGCATATAATAAACGTTTTATTTTTCAGCAAGAGGAGGAGGACTATTCCGGTGAGCGCTACAACTCCGCCGAATATTCCGGGGAGTCCTCCGTGCAGGACAGTCGGGAATACACCATCGGCACCCAGATCCGCGTCCAGCATCCGATAACGGTGCCCAAGAAGAGTACTTCCGGATACCAGAAGCAGCCAAATATGTGACTGCCATCCCTACAAGGCCTCTGGATATGGTTCAGATATTCACAAGGCCACTGGCTATGGATCCGATGTGCATATTGGATCTGGGGAGGATGTGGGTCCTCCGCCAAGAGATCGAAGTGGAATCCAGTGCAGTACGAGGCGGAAGCCGATCCCTTCCACTTGTGCCCCCACCAAAAGCCACCGTCGCCTCCAGCAGCAATTCATACAGTGTTTATGAGCCCGACATGATGACTACGAAGTGGTTCCAGTGTCTCGACCCAAGACCCACGATCGCTACAAGAAGTGGCCTCCAAGAAACAAATAGAGGCGTATCTGGAGGATCAGCAAAAACTACTTGACGAGGCCATCAAGGTCCAGCTGCTGAACAACCCCAAGCTGCAGAAGTTCCTCAAGGCTCAGGCGCAGGAACAGGAGCGGGAATCGCGGCCAGATCTCGAGCTTGAGGACTTCGAGGCCTATCCGCCAAACTTCTCCGGCCCAGGACACCTGCGCAGCAAATACATCGAGCACCCGCCCCCACCTCCGCCGAAGGGATCCCGGTCTCGGCGGCGTCCTCCAAGCGGAGATCTCAACAGACCACCCAAGACCATCATTAAACCCAAGCGGAAGTACCGATCCACAGCACTGGTCATCAATGTATAAGGGGAATCACTTAGTCCTTACTAAATTACTAATTTAAACATTTAAAGATAATGAAATATATTCGTAGTGTAGTCGTATTGTATAGTAGTATTGTAAATAATAAAAGACCATTTACGTTAATCTCTGTTCCTCCACTTTCTTAAAGCTAAAAATAATGGAATATTTTTGAATAATGGCGCCAGATGTTCTTCCTCTTCCATGAACTGATTAATCATGTTTCATTCATGTGGCGCCATCTAGCCCTATCGATGCAACCTAGGTACGTTTGGTTCGAGTCTCAGCTAACATAAAAGGTGTCTCTACTTTCTGCTTGTATGCTGAGGAGATTTCGTCACTAACTGAATTCACTGCTTACATACATCAATATAAATTCCAACCGAATATGGCATAAATTTTATGATGCTGATAAATAATTTATGTTACCTTTCAGTTTAATCTTGTTTTCCAGTTTTAATCAGCCATTTTAATAAATTAAATTAATTACTCATCAATTTAATTGAAAGCTGGGCTCGTCACACCCACATCCCATAAATGAGCCACAGATCTCGCAATAAAATCTCTCGACGTTTGCCATTTTAAAAATAAGTCCAGTCAATCATAAACCTGTGTTATTCATAAAAATAGCCGTATAGAGAACCCACTGGAACCAACACACCCATGGACACCTGTTTGAGCCCAAGTAAATTCTTGACTTTTACCTCTTTCGCAAAGCCGAACGAAAATCCGCAGTTGAGCAAGCCAATTCAAGTCAATTCCATCGATTGCGATTGCCGCAAAAGTGGGTGCACAAAGGCATATCATAAAAACAATAAGCAGCGAGAAACAAAACCGAATTGATTTTCTTAATTGACTGAGCAGTTTCAACAGAAGCCCAAGCCACCAAACGCAAAAATCCAAACTCCGAGCCGGACCCTCGAGTCCACAACAAAACTGACCTTGAAAGCTAAGCTCTGAAAAGTGTTGCTAATATTGTTAATGGTTGTCGGTGGTGAAAAAGAATGCCAACCGGTGGATGTGGAAAGTACAGAGGGAGAAATAGTAAACTACATTTTTAAATTGTTTACTGTATTTATTTATTAAATATTTTTTTATACATTTTGTATATACATTTTTTAACGTGTAGGTTAATAATACGAAAGATTTGCATATTTAATAAGCCCTATAAAATAATTGTAGGTATATAATAATAAAGTAAATTATAAGTTAAAAACCATAAATTGATCTATTAAGTAATCCATCGTTTATTACTTAGTATGATAACATTATAAAACAAACCACCTTTTTTGTAATTAATGACTAAACGGGAAGGAAAGGGATTTTTTATATTTCAAAATCATATGCGCGAGTTCTGTTAATTTTATAAGATAAATGTTACAACTGCTCATTAGGTGTCCAAATTGAGTTGTAAGTAATTGCAAACATGTAATTTTCCGTTGAGAACCTCACAGGTGAGAGGAAGCAGCCAATTAGCAGCATTCTTGCGTTCGGTGGAGCATGAAAGTGGGCAAAATATTTGGATGTAATTAGGCGGATCTAAATCAACTGGAGCCTGACGAATGGTAGTGCCATTGGGAATTGATTTAGTGCCCCAATCCCCGATCAAACCTGTGCCACCCCCACTTGCACATGGTTTTCCGGCTCAGTCTGCTATAAGCTCACCACAACACCAGGCTGATTTCATTTTCATTGGAATTTTGCACAATTGGCCAAGATTACTGTCAAATAGGCGAAACCCGTTTGAGGTCTTTCCTTGTTGGCCGCATAGAATCGTAACAGAAAACAGAAACCCGTTTTGCATGCACGAAAGTCGGTTGTGTAATGCACTATTTAGTGGGCGTTCACCACCCGAGGTGTTTAGATAAATCTGCTGGAAATTAAATTAAAAGCCACTGGCCGAAAACAAAAGACTGCAGGACACGAACTTGGTTTCCTTCGTATATTGTTCTTACACATCTATGATACATATTGCTCAGACGTCCCAAGGCCCAAAATAGTACAGGTTCTATTAATTAGGTTCGAAACTGGATCAACATCTTCGCGGTTTATTGGCTTCGCTTTTCTAAAAATTACATGGGAAGTTGGGAAAAACACAGAGAAATAAGGCCTTAATTTCTTGATTTTTCTTTATATTTCAAAAATATTTATGTCATATTTTTAATATTCGAATTTTTAACTGGCAATACCCCTTTCGGGTAATGGCATCTAATTTTCTCTGTGTAGGATTATAAATTACAAACAAACAGTACGCATATAGGAAGTACGATACATAGTTACAATTTGCTCTTAAACATATCACACAAGAGTTTTGATGGAGTCAAGAAAAGAGTAGAGAATCTAGTTGTGATAGGGGAGGGGCTATATAAGAAGGCTATATAAGAAAAGAGGGTGCCCCAATGAAGAAGATGCAACATGTCTGAGTAGGGATGGTTGGGACTTAGACCTTGTTGAAGGAGTAGGTGAAGCCATCGGGCGTGCGGTTCAGGGAGAGTTTTCCGGGTGGCGAAAAGCGGTGTGGGTTGGGGGTGGTGGTGGTGTAGTACGCCTGCTGGGGCTGTGGCTGCTGGTACTGGGGCTGGTACTGCTGCTGCTGCGGCTGCTGCACGGGCTGCGGGTTGTAGGCGGGCTGCGGGGCAGGGCGGTACTGCTGCTGGGGAGCGGGTGCTGGTAGCTCTGCTGGTTCTGCCCGAAGGAGGGGTCGTTGTAGCGGGGATCGTAGGACCCATCGTCTCCGTAGTCGTTGCTGCGGAAGGAGGACTGGGGCTGGGGAGCGGGAGCCTGGTACTGCTGGGGCTGGTACTGCTGCTGTGGCTGATAGCCCGCCGTGGGCACGGGCTGTGGGGGAGCAGGTGGTGCCTGGGGCAAATGATCTCCAGAGGCTTGGAAACTAAGGGGAGATAAAAAATTAACAAAATCTTAGGCACATAATCTATGTCGCATTCCTACCCATTTTTGCCTGCTGTGTACGAAATCGTACGCCTCTGGCCCGAGGGATCCACATAGCTGTAGCTGCCATGACGTGTTCCATCCGCATCCGTCTCCTCCTTGAAGTTTATGCCGTCCTCCTGCTCATAGGCAGCTCCGAACTTTCCATCTCCGGACAGATATCTCTGCTCACTGATGATGGCCGCCGTCTTGGGATCCTGATGATATTGCTGGCTGGAAGCCAAGGCCACCAAGGTGGTCATGCAAGCTGTTGGGGAATCGCAATGGGTTAAAAAATGCATGACGTATCTTGAACAAAACTTATAATAATATTTTAAATTAGGAGAATATTTTTTTAATCCTATAGAATATTCTTTTTTGATTCGCTCATATACCAAGTAAATCAGAATTACAAGTAAATATAAATTTATCTTCGGGGAAAATAACAAACATTTTTTTAATATATGCTGTATTAAGATTTTTGAAATCACTTTTTATAGAACTTTTAACAATGATCTGCTTAAAGATAAAATGACACTGTTTTTCGTTATCTTTTACTAAAAGCTCTGAATAATTTCATAATTGTTCTTTATTGCTTTTTAATTGTTCCAGTTTTAAGACACCCCTTATAAGAACACAACTCACAAATCTGAACATTTTGGAATTGGGGATTTTTTCGTATATCCTTGTCAAGCGTAAACTGCACTCTAGTTGTATCTCTTTCTCCAGGAGGATTCACACGCGCCTTTACGCTTACAAGTCGGTTGTTTGGGAAATTTGGACCGACGGCAACGGATTTGTGGAGTTAACTGCCTTCCGCAACGGCGCCGCCCAAGCTTTTTATAGTCCGAGCGGGAACCTTGGATCGCTGGATCGCCGATCGACTCCGCCTAGGCACTCCAAGCCGTGTAATTGTGTTGGTACTATAACTATTAACGGGGGCAACAACAGCAAGTCGGCCAAGTCGGCGTAACAATAACAAGAATCAAGCTAAGTGCTCCAATAAGTCAACTTTGGGCGAGTATTGGTATCGCGGTCGTGTTGCCAAGTCGTTTTACCAGTTTCGATCTCTTTCGCTTGGAGCGCCAACTTTTGCTTTCTATATATTCACGTCTATATGCTATATGCACTCAGTTCCCCAGTTTCTGGCTGCAGCAGGCCCAAGCCCAAGACGAAGCTATTTTTTAATTATTTCAAAAGTTTTCCAGCCCCACACAGGTATCCTCATCTGCGGGGGGGATCTGTCGAAACCAGGAATTATCGATTGGTTCTGCTGGAAGTGATGCAATTTTTATGGCTAGTGTTTTTTACGGTAATAATAAAACAGCGTGAAGGAAAAGCTTGTATAGGGGGATTAGGAAAGGATCTGTTTAATACACATTTTGATGACTAAAGAAGAGTCGTATATACAATCTTCTAAATTAAGTAAAATTTTAAAATATTTTAAGGTTTAGGATCTCTAAAAATATGTGTATATTTAGAAATGGGATAAAGTTTACTAAAGAAAACTAATTTAATTAAAGTTATGTAAGCCACAATGGCCTTAAGTATTTTCTTGCTAGTAGTTTTCAATGAAAATGTTTATGGCGGCAACACGAGAGTCATAAAGTTTTCAATACATTTAATTCTGATACCAATTTTCTTTTACAAGCTTTGTAGTAGGTAAATCTATAAATTTTAATGAACAACTTGTTGCGAGTTGTAAAACTTTGTTTTATTTTCCCAGTGTGAAAAGCCGTCGATTGTGATGGTAACTGGGTGGTAGCCCTCTGCCAAAATTTCAAACAGATCTCTTGGGAAATTCGCCAAACGAGCGTTGTTAGCTTTTCTCTGCCCTCTTCAAGTTGAAAAGCCAAAGCTGTTTGCTTTTAGCTGGATTGGATTTGCATTCTGCATGTGCATGGCCAAGTTGATTTATATCTAGATTGGACCGAGAAGCTGGACTTTGTGGTGTGGCCAAAAGCGCTTGGCAACAATCGCCGGAGTTTACTTTTTGCAATGTGTTTGACTTGTTGACTCCGCGCTGGCTTCAATTATTTATTGTGTTTGAAATGTCTGGCATTGTTTGGCTTGTTTATGGACAAAACAGTTGGCCGCCACCCACATGCTACACGCCCACGCCCTCTCCCACGCCCCTACCGCCCACTTTGCATAATACTTGCAGAGAACTTTTGGCATTATTTATGATCTAGCGATCCAAACGGATCTGCGTTCCTCGGAGAGGCTTGAAACTACACAGGGCGTAATATTTAAATTTAAATATTTAAAACGAGTTATTAAACAGTTTATTATAAGAAACTGTTAGCCCAAACATTTAAAAAAACAATTGTATTTTTATTTCATTAAAAATGTTATACAGTTTGTATTTTTATAAGCCACATTTATTTACTTGCATGGGTTTTTAGGAAAACTAAAATAGAATATTGATACTTTTCTACCATTTCAGAGACCTTTTCCTAAGCCTCTGGCGATTATTTCCCAGCATTTACAAATAGGCAACCAGAATAAGAGCATTTAAGTATGCAAATCGGTTTTCCATATTTTAATGACGATTTCCACACACCGGCACACTCTCACACCCAAAGTAGCCGCATGTGGTCGTTCATTTCGAGTAGCAACACTCCCATTTACACCGTTCCTTGCCCTTTTGCAAGTCGCCATCGTCATCAGCAGCATCACCAACATCACCATTGCCATCATCATTACATCGTCATTATCCGACGGGTCTTGTTTGTGTGGCCAAAAGCGGGAACGCCCTCTCGCAGCGGGGGGCGGTGATCAGAACAGAACAGAAAGCGGTAAAAGGGCGGAGGAAATTAAATCAGTTGACAAACAACAACAAGCACAGCGGCTATAGCTATAGTTCCGGAACATAACTATATGTTCTGCTATAAGAAGGCGAGGGCAAGAGCAAGAGCAGCGGGTCCAAGGTGAAGTTGAGCAGTCGAGCATGGCCGGATTAGCTTGAGGGTGTGCCCATCGGGGGTTGAAACGATCCAGCTACAGTAAGCTCTCGAAAAGAGGAAGTTCTTGCTAAATAATTAAATGTTATCCTTAAAAAGATATATATTTTCTGTATAAGAATTATCTGATATAGTAATTTGCTGACAAAATGAGCATATAAAATAAGACCATAATTTTTAGCATGACTTACCAAGTATGGTGTAATTATTCCTTGGTTTTAAGAACATTAAGATTGCTTTATTTGGCAGATATTTCATATTTTTAAGCAGTGACTATCCATACTGGCAAGTTTTGACTTTTGTTGATTTTTTCAAAAAGCTTTTATAGTTGATAAGAGGTCGTTAATATTTCATATATTTTCCATTTTGTTTAGTAATTTATTTGTGTATATTATCATTCATATTATAGGTGTTAGTTACAGTTAGAGATTTATTTCACTTTCGTATGCCTTTCGGGGTATCACTGTACTCCGCAGAGTCCTTCTTCCGTTGGCCTCTCTGCTGCTGCCTTTTTGATTTCCATTTCGATTTCGAGGCGTTTGCCTGATGCGACGATACTGCCACCCAGGATTTTCGAGGGAGGGAGTTTATCAGGAGGTTGATTTTGTTGTTATATCTGTTTTGATTGAGCCGTCGTCGTCAGTGGCCAGAAAGGGACGGATGCGTCCTATTCAGCATTTTATTTGTCAGGCTTTCACTTTGGCCGAGTTAATCACAATCGGCGAACAGATAATGAGGGTTGAGCCCTCAGGGAGGGGATGTACAAATCGTCCTTATATGCATGCAAAGCAGAGCATCCATGCTGCCATAATTCCGCGTTGTCTCTCAATTATTTCAGCTGCTATTCCGAACCCAGAGGTCTGAGTCAGAATTCCAGACTAGCGAACTAGGAAACTACCACCCCGAACAATGCGAAAACGAGCAGGGAGATCTATGGGCAGACAATTGCGATTACTTGTAATTCAAGATGCAGTCGAGCGTTTTCTGAAATCGAGCGAGTCAACTCCGCGCGGAAGGTTAACAAAAATTTAATGCTAAATGCTTATCGGTTCCATCATCAGTATTGTCTGCATCTCCATTTCCATCAGAAGTCAAAACCGAAACTCGCTAAACTTGTTGGGAAATACGATCTATTTATTCCTGGAGGAAAGGAGAGAGAGAGAAATGGGGAGATGGTGATTTGATAGCTGGTTCATGGATGATGACCCTGCACAGTCGTCAAAAGTCAGTCAGACATCTCTAAGTGCACTATGAAAAATACATTGTCAAATATTTAAATTTATTTGAAAAAAGAATTTGTATCCTTAATATCTGGTGTTACAAAAGTCCCATACGTTTGTTTAAATCTTTTTTTAAATGTATAGTAAGCCTTACTTACTCTAGACTTATATTATAATGAAAAATCTCTCAATTATTTATATAATTATTTCTTTCTCTGTACTTCGCCTTAATGTTGATCCAAATCCGACTTCAATCGCCCATTCTCCATGAATGTGTAACTCGATATCTATCCCAACTACCGTGTAAGTGCCCGCTAATTGCGCATCTGCTGGATTTTCACATCGCATTTTCGTTTTCCTGGCCAAGGTTTCGCTTACCGTTTGACTTTTCCGCCGGCTTAGCAACCTTACCCAGAAATCAGTTGTCGGCAGAGCCGTTTAAGCCATTAAGTGTCGCATAACTAACCAGTTTCCCCACACGCACACACACGCATTGGCCCGTTGGCAATATCAAGGTCATTTGACTTGGATCATTGCGTGTTTTTCATTTGGGGGGAGGGGTCGGGAAATGGGGCGGGGGAAAACGGGTTTTCGCATGCGTAGCGGTTTTCGCACTGCACTCGCAGACTTCCGCATTTCGGGGCCATGATTATTGGGTTCGGCCGTCTGCGCAGTGTGCGAATATGCAAATCGACTGGGGAGTGACGTCAAATTCAGCAGTGAGGTGGAAAAGGAAGCGGAAAACGGAGCACTGAGAGAAAGAAGGCATCCTAAAGGTCTGAAAAGAAATATAGTTAATGTTTATAAGACTTCAAGTAAAAACAGATGTACCTTTTGCTTAAAAAGCTTACATTTCAAGTAGCTATTATGCTCTAATTAAAAATATTTATTGTAAAATTATTTTAAAATCAGGCTTATTTTGGGAAACCTAAACATTGATTTTTAATTTTCTGATTTATTCTTTGTTACTTTGAATTTTTTAATGAAATTCGTATTAAGACCTTCATTATATGGCGAACTTCATCAGAAATGATTTTCATCTTCCTGTGGCTTTCGTAAATTATCTGCCCTTGTCCTTGAAATGTGGCATGCCACTGCCCAGTTGCAGTTATTGCATTTTTGAAAGTTGTTTTGCAGCCACCCAAATTGTTGACCTTGTCGAAAGAGCTGGTGCATTGAACCCCAAAGTTGAAATTATGGGGTACCATGAGCTTACTAGAACCACAATCTCGAAAATGTATCCAACTACACTTATCCGAGGATCAAGAAAAATCTGCAATAATTTGAATATCTTTCAAATGAACAGTAGCTACGTGACTCGCTGGCGAGAAGGTCACTCATAAATGAGACAATTAACCGATGTTGACATCCATTCATTGGCGAAAATGATTCATGATTCGGCGCACATTACACATTAATTACCGGCGCTGACAAAATGCTATTAACAAATTTATGATATCCATGCATAATGGCGTTTTCAATGTCATCTCAGATGGGTTTATTTTTAGTGGTATGCGCGTATTTCGGTATCTCAGAGTGACATGCAAACAAGTGAGCGATTAATTGCATTGACAAATCGGAATCGCTCAAACAATCCCCTGAAAACGGGCATTAAATTCCGGTTGATTGTGCGGCCACCTT